GAGGTCAATCACATCTGAGGTATTGGTATTGTCCTTGTATTTATATCTTGATTCTATGCATGTAACATTTTGTTGCTGATCAACGGAGACCAAGATTTCGAATATAGACTAATATAGACTATGGGGAGAGTGTATAAAAAGACAAATAACTCTATCTGGTTGTACCTGAGTGGCCTTTTTCCTATTCCGATTGCGAGCAAGGTCCAGCACAACATGGGGCGGAATCTAGACACTGTGATAGACCTCGGATAGAGCTATGATCACATCCATTCAGTCTGGATCGTGTATTGTGTAACTTCAGGTGTCTTAAATAGCTACCAGGGGCCAAAATTATAGACGAAAGAAGCAAGACGTGGTAATGCAGAGTGAATCTCTTACAAAGCTCATAGGTAATAAGCTCCATAGAAGAGAGATAGGATTATTAATTATGCCTGGATATTTCATATCCATGGATGTGTTTTTTCACCGGTGCCGCGTAATATAATATGCAACAGCTCGAAGGTCCAAGCCTAAGCAAAGCAAGCAATATGCGCGGTCGGATGATAACGGGTCAAGTAAGAACTAGAAGCTATGAAAAATATCAAAAGAACAAAAGAACAAATGGAAAATAGAAAAGAAGCCACCTGATACTCAAGTCACCTAGGCGATTCTCGTTTTATGCCGATATTCAACAAGTCGGGCGAAATCCTCCGGAGAAGGCAATAATGAGGGGCCGCCAAATAAAAAGAAGCAAGTAAGTGAGCAAAGTGGCTCAGGCCTCATCTTGTCAGCCTAATAGGAGCTAACGACCATTTAGATCTAGTGTTTCATGGATGAAGATGGGTGGGGGCATGCTCGTGCATTGAGAGAGACATCTTAGCTCAGCAATATTTGATTCGAGCATATTAGGTACTCATATGATTTAGGCGCTCATAACGTTGGAAATGATGAAACGCTCGTATTATAATGAACTAGGAAGGATTTTAAAGTCCCATGATATGGAGTTTATAACGGGGATTGAACGGTCATGTTTGCAATATAAATGGAAGCCTTGTATTGGGGGGACAGTGTTTTCTCAGACTAAGAATTATTCAAAGCCCAGGCAAAGCCTCTCTGATTTGTTAAACAACGAGCGGATGACCTACAGAAGACCCTATAGACAGGACCGAGATGGTCATTTGGGAGGGAACTACTCCATAGGTAGTCGATCAACGGTCCATGCGCGACTAACAAAGCAAAGCTACCTAGAAATGCTCCAATAAGCACAGTTTTGAAATCATAAATAGTGCGCACAGCTGTTTATGTCGACACAGTCGCTCAAATCGGAGTTAACTCTCGCTCATATACTCGGGAACCGCCCCTTCCACCGACGGCTGTACGAGGTCGAGCAAGATGTAGTATCGTCACACAATAACGCCCATCGCGACAGTCGGACTACTCCATAAAGCATATTACAAATGTACAAGGTTCAAAATGGAAAAAGCCCAAATAATCATACACGCTGTTCCGGGTCTCACAGCAGCCCCGTCTTGCAGAGCTGCCGTCTTCCACGCTCGGCGCCGGCTTTTCTTCCCCGTCACACAAATGCCAGGATTTATGCCAGCTTCGCAGAGCACAAGGTGACCCTGTAGCTCTAAATAGGGAAAGACCGAATCTCCTTCTATCGTGGATACTCAAATTAGACCTTGCATGATCCAGTAGGCTCCTTTTAACCTTTTAACCAACCGGCCAAGTCGGTCTATACCCCGGATGCAACATGCTTTCCTAATTACCACCTTGAACAATGGATTGCTATTAACTTCGTGAACCATCGACTTGCACCGAGTGGCGTTTCTGTTCTTTGTTACGCAGATCTATTGGGTTATGTACTTGCTCTTAGACACGAAAAGTACATCTGATAATATATCCCTATCAATCTCATCAAACAGAAATTGGCGGTAAATAACGTATATTCAAAGACAGCCGACGGCGATCGCTATACCGCTACCTCCTAGTCACATCCAAGCTCTAACATTGATGCCTACAACGCAATCCCCGAGTTTCATCCCTACATTCCCGAAGTTCTACACGTACATACTGGATGCGGGGCTAATTGGTTGACGCGGATATAAGCTGAGGAGAACATCATTCGTCGATATAACAATATATTTAAAATGACAAAGTCGACATGTCCAATCGCATGTCCAGCCTATTTGCTTTTTGACTCCATTGGGCGAGAGTTTAGAATGTTTCTCTCCTGATGCAACATCAAACTCAACATTGAAGTTTTGTCTCCACTATTGACAACAAACGGCAAACACGTCCCTGACTAGAGTTAGGGCAGGACAGACACCTGGAGAGTAGCTATCACCATGCCTTCGAAAGTCAATTGTTTATATTTCTAGGAGCAGCTTGTTGCCGCTGATAAAGTGGGGGCACACGCACATCATGCCCAACCTACCGCATCGTTCCTTTGATGGTGGTAATTGCAGGGACTATCAATGGTTATTTGTGCAGAAAAGACAGGCATATGCCGGTATCAAAAGCACGTTTAAACTGCATATGTACTCACTCGTCACAAGCAAGGCATAAATTGGGAGTCACTATTTCCTATTTGATATAATGAACGTACTTGAGGCCGGCCGAGAGTTGCGCGTCGGGGGCCACGCGTTGTACAGATTTTCATCTCAATTGGTTATATCCTAGCTCCAAATCTATCACAGCCCCCAGAACTTTTGCTAGGACCCGGGGCAGTCTGCTTGTTGGTCTTTACAGCCCCAATTGGACTCGCGGTAGTAGATGTGACTGAGACAGCGACCTATACTTGTGCATGAGGATGCACAGCAGCGCTTGATCCATACTGTATGTTATGGCACGCAGATCTACAATGCAGTGTGGCCTGAGTCATCCCGAAAATCAGGAAAGTTCTTCTAGTGGTGTTTTTTTATTGTAACAATGAAGACCGGGGATTCTATATAACGCCGAGAGGCTGCGTGATATTGATTTGGTTAGCTCTGCCCCACTGCTATGTGAAAAGATTCAATTCAATGGCGCTTAGAGCGATATTTGTTGTACGTGGGCCCATCTTTGGTGCATGGTGTATGTATCCTAGTAAGCCCAGCAACTGGGTTAGTTGCAGCCGTATGCCAGATACCCGGGGATGAGACCCTTTCTAGGGTATTGACAAGCAGACTTCCAAAGCCCAATCTCGTGCATGCATTAGCGTGAATCAGATTCATTTTAGGCTGCAGTAACAACACCCGAGCCGGAAGTGCCCGGGGTAGTGAGCTTGTGACCCAGGGATCGAGTTAAGATCCGCAGGGTGTGAAATTTGCTGAAACTGGGAGAGGGGTTTCTGGAAAGCGCATTGGGTGTTGTGCAGTAATTTATGCTGGGCATGCAGCACCAAAGGGAGAAGTTACGCGATTGTCTTTGTAGGAGTTTGTGCGTACGTCGTAAATGTAAAAGGTTTTAGGGTCTATTATAATCGTGGAAATATAACCGTATGACTGTCTCTGCGATATACTACAATGCCCAGTTTGCATTGCGAGCAGGGTCGAGTGGTAAAATAGAGTAGCAATGTTTTTACTAGGTGGGAGCCTTCCTTTTTTTTATTACCTCATTTTCTAGTATTTTACCACATTAATATGTTGTATTTTTTTCGCATAACCTAGTATATTTGCACTGTTTACATTAGTGTTTGCAATGTTTACAGCAGAGGTAGTGCAGTATCAGATAAGGGTCTAGTTATCTAGTACTACGGCAGTGCAGTATAACCCGGCTATAACGATCAAAATCCGGTGCTTGAATTAATTATTTGCCATACAAAAAATGGTTATATTGAGGGGCTTGTCACGTGGTTTAGCAGATTTCAACCAATTAAAATGCCTCACCGATCGATGCTAACCTCCTAAAAAGTGGCTTCATAAGAGTAGTTAATTGGGGTGCTTAATGAATATAGAAGGCTAGTGGAAACGAGGAATTTGGGAGTAGAGAAGCAGAGCAATATTAGAAGCTTTTCTTTTGAAATTTGGAGTGTAAATGTGCATATAGACCAGAAATGTATATTTACATATGGCATTTCGATTTAACGAATACCTGGATATAACGATATTTTCTCCGTGTCTGGTTTGTATTAATGATCGTGTTTTACTGTACTTGTCAAGACGTGTACAGAAAGGATAGTTATTTCTGGCTAATATGATACTTTAATACGCCACTATGATTTCTGACCGCGGCCGGAAAATCTACCTACCAAGTGTGATCCCAAAGGCGGGTTACCTACATATATATACCGCAACAGCTAAGTCAATTCCATGAATTGAATTGGTTATGACCTTTTAGTCTAATGGGTAACTGCTTGGAGGTATCTTCGGCGGGGCCCGCCGAAGCAACAAGGTAAATAAACACGGGTGGGACGTTGGACCCAGAGGGCCCTTATTCGGTAATGATCCTTCCGCAGGTTCAAACGATAGATAATTTGACTGTTTAGCCACCTACCTAACCATTCCAGAAAAAGGCCTGGTAACTGAGATCATTCATGACGCTTGAACCAGAACTGGAGAGAGAGAGAGGCAAAAGGTAGGGATCGATGTCATTCCAAACATACCCGGGGCCATGGAATAGCCCTGGAGCATTCCAGTCAAGTGCTCCTGCCTCTTTCCATGTTCAAGGAAACTTTACCTTATCAAAAAAAAAAGGAAGGAAGGACATCCGAAGAGACTCAATATAGAAATTGTGTAGATAATCGAGCCGGATCCGAACCACGGTACAGTAAAAACATATCTCGAGATGTTACGTCGACGACAATACAATTGTTAGTCTGCGGTAGGAAGCGAAAAAAACATGATCAAAATAGAGCATCGACCGAAAAGCCAAGAAAAGAAAATAATCGAGGATTGGGAGGGGCTGTAACAGACTACATAATGGTCGACAGCGGAATTCCCGCAGAGGGCTGGGGCCTAAACAGAGCCGCCTGAGCTACTGTCCATCTATGCAGCAGGGATCAAAATGACTGGAAGATATTTTGGACGTATGTTGTATTATGCACTCTGTAAGGAGGCGGACTTTATATCCAGTGCCGGAATGCAATAATGCTGTGAACCGAGCGCGAAGGTGCGGGGTTTGCCATAGAGCAGATCACCTGGCATACCACTGGCAGCTTCACCAAGACTCACGCCGCAGGTAGCCGTGGTCGAAGGCCTGTCTGTGTCTTCCGAAGTTCGCATGGGTGATATTTTTTTGTTCCGGTTTGAGCCTGATATTTCGCCTATTGCGGATGTCCTCTACAAAGTGATAGCAATGTGTTGTTTTATATAGAGCAGGGAGTGGTACCTGCGAACATGAAACCTCTAGTTGCGACCATAACAGCAAGTCACAATTTGGAGGTGCATCTAATTTATCTGGCAATTTATTAGTTCAAGTATGAACTAGTTCGAGGCGCTGGCGCTAGAAGCACTGTGGGTCCCACCAACGTGTGCTAGCGGATAAAGAACCTGCTTTCCAAGAATCCAGCCCTTGATGGGAGATTCTAGACTTTGATTTTTGGGGTTGGTGGCTGCAATAGCTTTTCAGCATGTTGGAATTAGTGGGGTTCTCAGCAAATCTGACCATATGTACATATTTTTTTTTTCCCTTTCCTTTCTTGTTTCACTTGCAACGGCGTTGCATTCTTATCTGCATGTTTATTGCACTCTCTATTATTTGATTTGATTTGTGTAGCTTTCGGTCAGGTTCTACAATAGGCCGGAGAGAACGCCGATCGTACCAGCTTATTGTTGTTCATGCTTGGCTTCCTATTTTATTCGAGGCGGGGGCCGTTGTGAAATTGGAAATGCCGGCAGGATAATTTTCCACCGCTTTATTAATAATTTGTGCTGGAAGGATAAACTCACGGAGAAAATGCACTCCATCTTGGCGCCACTATTTTGGATTGTTTGGTTGGTGTCCACGGAAGAGAGCTGGTGTAGGTTTATAGCGGGGTGCTGGAGCATCTCCATTGCACGGGTATTGTAACTAGACGATTAGGGACCAAACCCGTCTTTGGACTGGAAAGATCGTCAGGAGGGGCATTTTATTCCTGAGTGCGGGAACTGTGGAATGCTGGGACTTGTCGGTGTATGTTCTTTGTCTAGCAGATTATGCCACGGAACAAGAATATGCCTGGGGGGGACTAGTGAAACCTGGTATGGCTACGCGGACTGAAAGCAGCATTTTAACCCAAGGTTGGCCGGGCTCCAGGGCCGGTGTCCACTGGGTTAGGGCTTTGCTGAGTCACCTAACAATGCGATGGTATGTTTCCAATCCAACCTTGGGAAAGGAGGTTAATAAGTGTTTCTATGATGTAGAAATGGTTTCATTTTCTATTTCTATTTATATGTAGGAACAATTTTAGAGAAAAAGTTGAACCATGGAAAAGAATTTTTTTTTTTCAGTAGTGAAGCCGCAAACGTGAAGGATGAGGGGGTTCGGACTTCCTAGGAAAGTAATCCGTGGGGATCGTGAGTTTCCCCGTGCAACGTTTTCTATTTTCCTCTCTATTTTTTCTTTAGGGCGAATAAGCAAGATAAGCTCCGTAGAAAGGTCTCCACCGAAAAATTTTCGAAGCATCAAATGATCAAGAAAACTGGGGCCATCCACTCTGTCCGAATAGGCGCTACACCGGTAATCCCTTTTTCCTAACCCTTTTTTGGAATGGGGATAATGAACAGGAATTATAGTAGAGTTTCTGGGGTAGAAGATTTTAAAGTAATTATATAATGTAGTATATAGTACAGTGTCTAGTACAGTGTCTAGTACAGTGTATAGTACAGTGTATAGTATAAAAGCCATAAGAAAAGGGAAAAAAACCGAGAGACCCATATCAGACAGGCCTGGAACCGGTTTCGTGATCTGGTGACACGGCAGACCGGAGGGCGCTTGGACCAAGTTCCCCATTATTCTTCGGGGTATAAGACTCGCTACCATTTCCCACCTTTGTTTCTGGCCCTTTCCTTTTGGCCCTCTCAAACAATTTCAGCATATTCACAAATCTAAACGTCTCTGCATTATATTCGGATCATACTCTTCTTAAAAAAAAAAAAAAACCACATCAATCTATGATCACCATTTAAAACACTATGAACGCTGGAACTACGCAAAAAGCCCCCAAGACCCCAAAACCAACAGCCTCCGTGCCAATTGTCCAAAATAAACGCTGGCCCCCCATGGCAAACCGAAATGCCCTTCCCTACAAGCTCACACATATCTCGAAAGAGAAACTTGCCCGTGAAGCCACCGCACCAGATCCCGATCTCCGCCGCTGCGTGGCTCACTTCCGCCTGCACTGTGGTTCAGTCATGTGGACCGAGAATGATATGAAGTCTCGTATCAGCTCATTCGACTTCGAAGATACCGATGAGGAAGACGACATGGATGAAATCAGCAACAAAGAACTCCCTGTCCTCAAGAACAGAGCCCCATCCAACGAGTCTACATCCGAAGTTACCGAACAATTATCATACAAATCAAAATCAGAGCCCGTCGCAGAGCCCGTCGCTGTTGCGGCACCCCCGACATCTCCATCCACTGAAAATTCTTCCGAGCATGGTTTTTTGGAAAAGGGTCGCAATTGTCTTGAGGCGACCTCCAAACACCTATGGACAGGGGGCTCCTGCATGGTTGCCCCAATGGCGGGATGAAATCGCCACTCAACATTTTTATGCTTTTCTCCTATACTCTCGACTTCCGAACCTTTTCTCCTGATCCTTTACACCCGACATACGATATCACGATTTGATGACCCTAATGAACAACCAAAATGAATACATGTATATAACTTTTTTGACACTTATGTCAACTATAATTACCCAAGGAAGAACTTTTTTTTTTTTTTGCTGGACAATTTATCTTCCCGATTTACAATATAACTCGAATAATAATAGATGAGCTATCCAAGCCTGGATCTCTTTTTCTTTGAAATCCCTAAAATCGCCCAGAACTCCCCACACTCTATTCTTGGATATTTCCCCAACCTGGAAGGTCAAGCGATGTGAGTCAGGTGCCGCGTAACCCGTAACCGGTCACATGATGCATACCCAAAACAGGAATCCTGATCTTCGAAACTGCTAATCTATTAATGTCGAATCCTGGAGGGCTAACGCAGGCCCCAAGTCGGAAAATGGGGCTTGTGGGACCATGATCTTCGTCGTAGAATCCAACGGAAACAAAGCTGAGAATACTGAATTATGTATGGCGGAAAGTCGCAAAATAAGTGGCGAATCATCTGCCGATCGGGTCAAGTTTCATCATACCCATGTCACATTCTTGGAGCTCTTTACAGCTCAAAGATACCTTCAGTCTCAAATGACATCCCATTCTGTCCTGCCATGATAAATGGGACCATTTGGCTTCCGACCCGCCAATGGTTTGATCGACTGATCTGTATCAAACTGCCAATCTGCATGGCCTGACGTCGCTATGATAATCCAGATCGCATCTGTCAACCTGAAGCCAATTGAGTTGCAATGCGAACATGAAAACAAGGAGAAGAAAGCGCGGAAACAGACGAGCAGGCTCATGCTACGTAGCAACAGCACACACAAATCCTACCTTGAACATCGTACATCGTACATCGTACATCATAGTACTTGAGAACGTCACTCATCTCTAGAACATTAGCCACTGCTCGGCCCGAAACTCCAATCTGCCATTCGCGACAACATAACCCTCTCCAGACCCGCAGAGCTACTATGTACGCCCATTCAACCAGCGGATCTGCCCGATTGGCTGGTATACTCATCCATTCCCCATACCCAGTGTTCCCACGTACCTATTCCTACGGCAAACTCTCGGCCCGCGAACAATTGTTGATCGGGACCACCGACGCCGATACCGAGGTGTGCTCTTCAGGCTACCTGACATAACTCGGTAACACGGATGATGTTATAAGTGGCGCTAGTTTTCCTGACTCCATTGGATGTCCCTCGGCTGGCTGGCGGCTTTGCGGCACGTAGATAACACAATGACCTGGTAGGGTCAATGCATCTTTTGAGGTTTGGTAAAGGTACAAATGTCGTTATGCACAAGGGCCTTCCTTGTCAATGGTGTTGATCTAGCTTGATAACCTGAAATAAGAGCGAAAAAAAAAAGATGGGCCCGAGCCCGGGATTGACGGCGACCTCGCCCAATATTGCTTTGCCTTATGCTTACTAAGGCCTTCGCCTGCCACCCGTCCCTCTATCTCACGAATAGGATCTTCATAATATACATCTGGCTAGACAGAATTAAATTCCGGCCTTTATTATTTTTCTCCTACCCAAACACAGTGCCATAGTTCGGGCCTGGACGAGTAAGAAATGATCCAATAGCATCTGCAGCTAGATTCACCGTAAATCACAGTTTAGAAACCACAATCTTAGCTTCCCCAGACGCGAATTCAACATTCCAGCCTCCTCTCGCACGTTTCGATTCCCCACCAGCCACAGCATAGTCATCGTCCGTACCAGGAGTCTCAACCCAAACAACAACAGAAGAAACATCAGACGAGCCAGGAACAATACGTAGTTGAAGCGACGTTGGCCGAGAAACATCAAACGAGACCTCTTCTATCAGTCCAGCGCTGATCGTGACATACACTCCAATTTGGGCAACATAGACCCGACGGCGCACAGCGTCTCGTGGCTGCACGGTGACCGTGTCTCCACTGGTATCGATATTCCCACCATACGCAATAAGCCCGAGATCAGGATCATCGACGATGTAGACAGCTGACCCAAGCATCATGCCTAGGAAGTTTGGACCGTAGTCACCGGAATAATCGTCGCCTTGCAGGGTATCAGGGAAGGAATGGAAAGCATTGTACATAGAGCCGTCTTGTCGGATGTTGGATAGTGGTCCTGTTATCCCGCCATAGCCAACTCGGAGGAGATAGGTGTCGGTTGGATTCTGGCGGAACTGGGATAGCAACGGTAGTGCGTTGAGGCTTGATCCGTAGTGATGGATCATGCGCTCGATACGCTGTAGCTTGCCGCCATAGCTGAATGAAGGTCAGTAAAGAAAATGAATCAAAGAAAGCTCAACTGTAAATGGTTGGCTTGGCTCTTACATGAAGTCCCAATATCGCCGGGCATTCCCGTTCCATCCCCAATGTGGCACTGTGGGCATATATCCTAGGATGCTGTTGATGGTCTTCGTTGCTGTGTTGGTCATTTTGAAATAGCTAAATGAAATGTTAGCAAATCGTATCACTATTAGAAAAGGCACCAAAGAGGAAAAACATACTTGCTCCAGTAATAGATTCCCTCTTGGCCAGTCGAGTCCCAAGCCATCTCACTGCCAAATGGAACATCCTCCATATCCCATGCCTCAGCACGGAGCTTCATGGCAGCCTCCACAGAATCGGCCTCGGCAGTCCACTGTTCATGTCTCAAATCCGATAGAAGCTCACCAACGACAGTCTCGCCCATGAGTCCGAGACGAGAGTACCCCACAAGCCCATACCCACGCGAGTCCGTGGCGAAACAGGCCACTGTGGTGTTGTATGCTTGACTGAGGTACCACTGCCAGTTGTGTGTTTTCAGAAGGGCCCCGTTATCTCGACCTGCGCGATACAGCGCCCAGTATGCCCCGATCACATGGATATAGTCGTAGGCACGGTCTGTAGCATAGGAGCCATCCTTATTCCATGACCACCAGTTGCCCCAGTCAAGAGACTGACTGTATTTGTATCCAGGAAGTTGAGCAGGCTCGTAAAAGAAGATGCTCTTGCGGACTGTGAAGTCTGCATTTTGGATCGTCTTGGACAGAACATCGGAAGCAAATTGTTCAAGCTTTGATACTTCTGTCGCGTCGGCTAAGCCTGATTGTTTCATTGTGCTAGCCAAATAGGACACCCCGCCTTCGTCGCTTAGTCCGGAAATCCAGACTCGGGGTTCTTGGAGGACTTGTGCTTGGGTTGAGTGGTCCCATGTCATGACTGATGGAGCTCGATGGAAGGGGTCACTTGTGTCATTGAACCACATTGATGTGGTAGTGAACTCGCCCAATTTGCTGATTGTTGCTGGTGCTGAGTCCGTAATGAAGTAGTGTACTGTTTGGAATTTGCCATCTTCGTATGTGATCGCTACTTTGGTTCGACCCCAAACCAAGCCAGTTGGCGTGAGTGATAGAATGCCATTTGCATCTTGGGTTATCTTGAAGGAATTGTCTTGGGACACGACCTCAGAGATTTGAGAATGAGAGACGTAAAGCCGAGCTGTGAGGTCAACTGGTACCACATATCCTGGTATGCCCAGCGTGGCAGGCGTGTTAGTGGCTTTGACTGCATCGTGTATACCACGCACACCGTCCTTAACAACCGTGAAGCGCAACCCATAGGTCACTGATTCGCCTGGGCTCAGGAGTCGAGAGCTAGGTTCGTTCCATGGGGTGGCACCAGACCACTCATTCTCGGCATAGGCTTTAGTGTGAGTCTGCCATTCGTAGAATCCCTCAAACGTTTGACTACCGTAATAGAGAGGATCGGTGCTAGGCTCGTCCAAGTTTCGCCATGCTTCCAGTGGAGTGCTCGTGTTGAGCAACGGGGTAACAATCAATGATGATCCGGTCCCAGACGTGGGGGTCACTTGAAGATACCCAGCGTCCATCCCGATATATGGATCTATGAGCGAGCACTTGGCCACCATGTCTTCTGCTGTACGGTTGGAGAAGATACTGTTGAATTCGGTCGGGAAGCCCAGGCTGCCAATTTCTAGTGTCTGCTTTCCCTTGTTGGTCAGAGTAAAGGTCAAACCGAGATCACCGTCAACGTCAATCCATTCTCGAAGAATATTAATAGGAGAGGTTGGTAGGGTTTGTGTCATCTCAGCGGCCGCAAGAGCATCGGACTTGGCACTTTTTAACGATTTTCTTGCTTTCGCTGAGTCGCCTGCAATCCACTTTGTTGAACCCGACAGTCGATAACGATATGAAATGTCCCCATTATGGTATTGACCATTTGCCGCTCTGTATGAAATGTCATCGAAAGGCAAGAAGTCGAAAGATTCTCCTGCTGGCTTGAGAGAGGCGAGGACCTGGGAATCTTTGACTAACTTGATGTCAAAGTTGGCTGTGGATAAAGAAGTATAGCCATTGGCTAGACCAAGCGTATCATCGTATGCTTGCACAGTCGCAAAAAAGAAAGCGAGGAATCCCGAATGAAGTTTCATTATACAAACTGTTAGCCGAGGCACGCTCTTCTTCAGCCTTTGGGGATTTAAAAAATGGAATGGAAATATAGAGAATATATAAGTAAGACAGTACAGCTTATGCTACCGGATAAATATCGGGTCTCTGGAGACAATGCAACGTGAGGCATCATAGCTATTAGCCGGTTGTTGATTCCCCCACACCTTTACTCCGCAGCGTTGCATCGTGAGAGCCAGGCTACATGAATTTAATCTAAGAGGATTATATATTTTTACGCCAATGAAGAGTTGTTTATTCCAGTTCGAAAGTTATTTCCCCCGCAATAGGTACTTTAATACATAGAATTAGGCCGACTATTCTTGTAGAATATAACGAGGGAGATCGATCAAGACCGCAAGCAAAACGATTATCGATATTGACACGATATTAGGAAGGGAAAATAGAGATTGATCTGATAAAGGCGTGTTGATAAAGCACCCATCCAAGCCCATAACTGTCTTAACATTTCATATAAGAAAGAAACAAGAAACTATAATAAATCTGCTTTGATCCATGCATTTGGCCCAGCTCTGATCCTCCAGTGAAAGATGCTAATCTCAATTCGCAACAAGAGCCCTAGGAAGCGTAGCCCTCCTAAAAAAAGTCAAGCCTAAAGACGCTGATACAGTTTGACAGAAGCATAGTTCCTCGGCATGATACCCGTGTTTAAACCCCCTTGCCTACAGAAGCTTCATCCTTAACACGTTAATAAACTTGGCGACAGTCGAATAGTCATTTCGCCAACAAAACCATACATTAACACAGGCTGATTTCAAATGGAAACGACCCTATCCTTTTAAGCAGCTTTTGATTTGACCCATATACTCATCTGCAAAGAAGGCAGCCTCACCTCTCTTAAGTACAATCATGAGCTTCTTCAGATTAAAACCAATGAAGCTAACTAACCAATCATGAGGAGCATTTACACCCAAAAGGCTATTTGGGATTTGTCACAGTACTGAAGTGAGTTGTGATATGGTGTGGGATAGCCATCAACAATAGCACCTAGCAACGGGGGTCTTTTTAAAGGGCCTTTCAACAAGGCAACGAATTTGATAGCTCCAGGGGGGCGATTAAGATAGTAGAAAATAAGAGGGCTTCATAACCCGATGGAAGGTCATACTACAAAGAAAGAAAATAATAAACTACCTACTACGATGTAGCTCCTTATATGCTTCATGGGGACAAACGGAGATCTGACTAAGTGCAGACAAGCAAGCAAAGTATGGCTGCTTTGCTGCCTGAGTGCATCAATTATTAATATAACTAATTAACTGGCAGACATTGAAAATGCTAAATCGAAATCATTGAACATCTCCATTGGATCAAGCAGTCCAATGTCCACATGAGATTGAGTCAGGAAATCCAGCATGGTTGGTTGATGCAGAGCCATTTCCGTAGTGAGATATGGGACATTTGATTCAAAGAGTGGAGGACCCAGGTCTTCCAAAGGGCCCATGGGAGATTGAAGATTGTTCGAACTTCGGTGTGGTCGTAATGATTCGGAATCGGATCCTTCAGTCGTCGGCAACATATTGGCAATGTTGTCCAGAGCCCTGCGAGAAAGTGTCGATGTAGAGTATAGCGGGCTATCGTGAAGACATTGACGCACACGCTGCATGCGTTCGTATAGGTCTCTTGACGCGAGACTATCTGATAAGCTGAGATTCTTGAGAATTTCAGTTGCGGTTTCGGCAGATGTCAAATCGCTTGGATCTCCGAGTGGTAGAAGGCTCGAAATCATGAGGATTAATGCAGCAGAGAAGAGGTACGCAGGGAATGAGTAGCCAAATATTGCTAGAGACCCGCCGGTCCATTCATTCACACATAATGCCAGCGAATGTCTTGCTGCGTGTATACACGCCTCACTCAAAGTGACCAGGATGGATGGGATGGAATCCATAGACTTATTAGTTTGGTCTTTGATCCTTAAAGTGAGGACATGGAGAAGGACTGGTCGAATTGCCAAGATGACGCACTAAAGTAGTCAGTATAGTTTCGAAAGAGGTCCAAGGATAGTTATGCTCTCACAAAATTGAACTGGAGATGCATTTGAACTGTATGTTTCGAGTTTGGCCTGTCTGCACTGAGCCTCAGATGCTCAGGAATAGACCGAACCCACTCTTTCAATTGAGTTAAAAGCCTCTGTTCGCGATGTAAAAAGGTCTCGGCCGAAATCTTTCGACAGTATATCTCCCCCGTTGTGTTACCAATAATTCTGGCAAGTTCTATTGCTGCGACCTGGTAAGCACCATCCAAAAATTGGTCAGGGTATATTTCGGACGCCGAAATGGACGGTGGGTCGACATGGATATCCTCGTCATGGATTTGCACAGGGAACCCCGACTTTGAGCCCCAGAATCGGTCAAGCACATATATAGTCCACCATATCCGGATGCGGTGTTCTCGTGCTACTGGGTGTAGATTTTGGGCTAGTGGGATGTTATAGTTTAGGCCTATGCTGAGGCCGAGTCGTAATGCATTCCCGATCAAAAGGTAGGCGGAGTGAAAGCGGTTCAAGAATTGACAGAAGAAGGCCTACAGAGAATAAGTAAGAGCCGAGGTGACTGCCGAAAAGGGGACTGACAATCAAAAGCAAACTTTCTATATGAATCATGCTTGGTCTCTCGGGGATGATCTGGATGAGACTCCACGCCTTGGCAAAATAGGCCAAGCCAGGTACACTCGACGTGTCGGACAGATCATGAGGAGTTGAAAAAACTTGGGCGATGGCGAAAAGAGCAAAGTATTTACATTGAATAGTTGGATTATCGAAATCCCCTCTCTGATAGACGCCATGAAGCATGTCCAATGTGTCCTTTTTCAATGCCAAATGGAAACTTGGGATGATATGGCCAAGCGCAGTCTTCACTAACAGCTGGGCACTCACAAGGCTAGGCCATTGTACATCTGTGTTAATTAAAGATGATATTGCGGACTCGTCAGTATAACGCGACCTTGGAAGATGAGATATTGGCATGTTGGTCCCTTTCAAAGACTGGCACAGACGAGTAGCAAAAGCAGCGCAAGTTGCCTCGCTAATATAAAGGGGGACCACCGAGGCATCGTTTGATTGGAACCATGGCTTCTCGCCAAGAATATTACTCTGTAGCAGGGGCTCAGTGTTCGCAGTGGCTATATCTTGGTTAACTTGTTGGGGACCAGAGCTCTGGCCTTGTCTGTTTGAGCAGCTTTCTTGTTTCAAACGACGTCGTTGGTCATGCAACTCTTGGCTGTCTTTCAGAAGTTGCTCAAAGTAGCTATCAGTTATTAAAGTTAGTGACTCGTTTGAAACCAGGGACTAAAGAAGCTGGACACCTTTCATCCACCCGTAGTTTGCGATCTCGGGTCGCATATCTGCATTGGGATTCGTAGCCTGCAGCTCGGCATTTCGAGCATGGCTTTTCTCCCGAGCATTTGATTTTTTGCGCATGACACCGATGGCAGCTGTGAACAGTGTGAGCAGATGTCTGATGTTGCTTTGGACATGCTTACGCCACTGCTCTTTTCTTGGGTCTTGTTGTGGTGCGGGTGGGCTGTTGGCCAGATCGACTGTGTATACCCTGTGAATCAGTGCCCATCTCAATCTATAAGCTGATTTCAAAATGAAATGAGATTGTTTTTGGAGAAAAATATGAGGCGGTGGATGTGTTCGGCAAATCTTCAGTTCGCCGATCCGCCCAATCATGAACGGAATTACAATCAAGTGCTTGTAAATTGCTACTCGACGCAAATTCCCCCTGTTTGGCACGCAAACATTTGGATCATTCAGTACACTGTAAAATATAGATTTAGCTACTTTTTTTTTTCCTAATGAGTTAGGTGGTTTGGTCACTAAATTTGTAATTCAAGTCCATATACTCATAAAATACAAAGTAAAGAAAAGGGCAGTAATTCGTCAAGTCAGTATATATCTAGTGTAACAGGAACCGCGTAGGTATCTCTCGCGATTCGAGCTCTAACGAGACAGACGTTTTCCGTCTTTTAGGGGGATTGACGTGATTCTTCAATCCTTTATTGAAATTAAGGATACACATCACGCAGTTGATATTCGTGATAAGCATCAGCAGCAACGATACAACCGCGAATAATGTCAGGGATACCCGAACGGAACTGAAATCGGTGCTCTCCGTGGGGCTGTGAATTCTATGGAGAGTGAGGCCGAAGCATCCCATTATAATAAGCATAAAGAACTGAATGGCTGGTTAGTTTGAAGCTCGGGTATTGATTCGCAGAATCCTTACCATCATGAGTATGAGAGATTTCGTTTTCTCGCGCTTGCAAAATTGAGCCGACAGGACCAAGGTCGCTATGGTGATTGGAATCAGAGCGGCATTGAGGATAAAATCGAGATCTTCGGCCTGAAAGACCACAAGGAGCATTTGAAGTTGACTTCCGAATACGAAGAAGAAATCGAATTTTAGGAGAGCAATATACACCTAGAGGAACTAGGTTAGTCACAAAACAATGGCACATTACTAGCCTTGTTGCAACAAACCTGATATGTAAAATATCGGCGCTTCATCTGCAAATCGGCGCTGATATTCTTGTATATAGACCATGAAAACTCCGCGCGCAGCTTCCACGTAAAAAAGCTCATGCACACAGTCCCCACAGCTAAAAACACGGGCACAAGAATGATTTCGATGTCATACAAGCTCTGCAGACGCTCGTCGGGGACTTGATGGGTCAAGCTGGCAATCGTGTCCTTGATCTCCTGAATCTGGAGAATACCAAATGTCAACAGGCCCAGATTACAGATACAGAGTCCGACCAGCTGGATTGTATTTTTCCGGCGCAGTGCGTCATATGATAGAGCAAGTTCGTATAGAAGAGCGAAAATGTATAGGCCAAGGAATGATTGAAAGCGCATTGGTCCGTCTGCTTTTTCGTTGTCGTCGAGGTCGTCCCACAAGCTCATAAGAATCCAGCTAATTTTACCATAAGCTCTCAGTCTGAGAAGGGACTGATATTCAAGGTCGAGCCCCTACCTTTCAATTGCGACTGTGAGTATCGTCTCGATAACCACCGTTATTGCAAATAATCGGGTCCATAATGTGTTGGGGACGTATAGTAGAGGTCGGCTGTGATTCGGGGCCTTGTGGTGTTCGCTCATGACCGGACTGTGGGGCATGGGATATGTGTATATCTCTGGTTCCTTGACCTTGGATGTGTAAGAATCGTTGTATTCATATCGGGTAGTTTGAAAAAGTTCAGATTGGGTCATGACGGGGTATCAAAAGATCAAAAGATCAAAATTGCAATGTGGAAAGAAAGATCAAACTATTTTCAGGAGTTTCGTATAAGAGATATTCCAAACCGAATACGACTGCCTTCATAGTGGGGCGACCACGCAAGGCTTCCAGGTTAGATTGTTCAAAGCCAAGGCTGATCTAGTGTCGGTCTATTTGCAATTGACTTCCACTAGACTAAAAAGAAAAGAGAGGCTTATATTTGAGGGGGCTAGCAGGGTATAATGTATAAGAATAGTCGGCCTTATAAACAGCCTTATCGTGTCTTTTTTGGTATCTAAGGAGACTTCTAATTTTCTTTAAAAAGATAAATTCTCTGTTTATTGGTGTTATATAAGGATAGGAGTTAGCAAAATATAGAATATAGTGAAAAGGGTGTAAGATGTGATCAGGGGAATACGCGTATCCGGACTATACATCCATGTCAAGTACCACAACCTCAATTGAAAACGCGTATATTGTACGTTGCAATATTTCATATGAATATTCGTAAAATATACTTAAAACACGAGTACGAGCACAAGTTAATATAGACAATTCTAGGTTAGAATCCTTCAAATGCTCCATATGGGACCGCCATATGGACGTAGCCCAATGGACGTTAGTACGGAATATTTAACTTTTCTCGTCTGAGACAGGGATAAATTGTATTGTATGCTAGTATGAGGATACTAAGATAATGCGGCGATGGGGATATATCCAAAGAGAATTCAACAATGAACGCCATGCCAGTGCTTAAGCCACCTCAAACTCCAGTACCCGAACACCACAATAAAACAGAAACGGAGAACACACAGCAAAGCAAAACCAGCACAGAAAAACTCCGCATAAATGCATGACACATAGCAGTACGCATTCGAGTATGCATCAGAAATAAGAAAATTAGAATTCCATCTCGTCATCCCAACCCAACTGATCGTATATCGACGTGGATTGTGATTTCTCCGGCGTTACGGGCACAGCTGCGGCACCTTTAACGGGGGTTCCCATCACGGGAGGTGGGGAGTGAGCGCGAGGATTCTCAGTGACCATGGCATCAACCGATAGAGAAAATGGCACAGCAGTGGGAGTAGATATACTCTGCGGTGCGTGTCTTTTGGGCGGAGTCTCCATGATCGCCGAGGTGCGAGCGTGATTGAGAGACTGGCTGAATTGCCGAGATGATGTCGATAAGGTTTCTGCGAATGAGGAGATGTTCTTAGGCCGAGTATGGATGGGAGAGCCCGGGACCATTGGTTGTGTGGATGAGCGGGGGGTTGGGAGATTGGGAACCCTGAACAGGCCTTTGCCAGTGGAGGATGATGGCCGACGGGCAGCTATGGTGTCACTCTGGAAGAGTTTGGATGACGGCCTAGTTGGAGTTTCTTGAATAGCTGCTTCCGGCTGACTTGATCGTGGACTTCGTCCATCGCGTAGATTGTCATGAGAATCGAATGGGTCAGAGTCGGCGCCAGAGAATGAGATTGCGCGTCGGCTCGAGGATGGAACCATCATGGGAGACTCGTCGAAAGGAGAATTTTCCACACCTGCAAATGACCGGGATGGGGCTAGACTACGAGAGAGTGGCGGTCGCCCGACGCCCATGTCCATCTTTCGATTGCCTCGAGGAGTTGCCATGACCTGGACACCTTCGCCAAACGGATTACGCACGGGGTTTCTTGACTTCCTTGAACTGCCTCCGCCGCTTGTAACCCGTTTCGACGCATCGTCTGCTATATCCTTGGAGACGAGCTCTCTGTTCGGCTTCCGGAGCGCGTTAATTGCAGCATCAAGCTCTTTCTTCTGGTTGGCCAGCATTTGGACCTTTCTTAATTTGGCCTCATGCTGTCGTGCTACGGCATCCAGATCAACCTCGCGGTTTTCCGTGCGTTTTGCTTTCTGAATGCCACCCCGAACACTGCCGCTAAGAACAGTGGGCAACAAGGGCTCAATATCGCGCTTCGCATTATTTTGCGTTGGTGCAGTGTTTGATCGAGTCAATCCTGGGTGCCGAGCATGAGACGCTGCTGCTTTATCGTCTGTAAGCACTCGCTGCAATGTTCGTCGGGGCTTCGGCGCAGGCTGTTGTCGCTTGACTTCCGCTCCGGGTTCCACGCGGTGCGATTTACTCGAGGGTTGTGTCCTCTTAGCAGCTGGGGAAACACCGCCAGAGACCCCGAATTTGCGGGTGATCAACTTGCATTTATCTGGGAGACGTGCAGCATAGAAGGGAATGATGACTTCCGTGCAGAAATCACGCACCGCATCGCTCTCAACTTTCTTGCCTGAAAGATGGTTGTCACTGAAAGAAGAAGCCTTTGCTGTATCAGAGGCAGACGTTTCTTCCATTGTCACAGCGTGCCAAATGCACATCCGATCGAGATGGAGTTCGAGCAGCACGTTCAAATCCGTGGCCTTCTTAGCCCTGGCTTTCTTCGGCGTACTTTGCTCCCCATTCACATCTTTCTCCTTGTTAGTGCTGTTTTTCTCTGCCGAAGCAATAGTCATTTCCAACACCATGACCTCCAAAATCAGCAGGATCTGCAATTGTGTCTCGCGCAACCGGAGATCCGAAATCTGTTTTTTAGACTCTGCTTCACGCGCCGCTTCCTGTGTAGAAGATCCATCCAAGATTCTGTCCTTCCACCACCTGTGGATAAATCCTTCTTCTTCTGGGTAAAGACCATTCTTGCCCATCTTCTTTTTCTTACTCTTCCGCTTCTTAGATTTCGCGCCATCGTCAGAAAGCGCAAGAACTGCATCGCGAATTACAAATGGCAATGTTTCTCTGTATTTGAGGTCCATTTTCTTTGTAGCGAGGATAGCTTCGCGGTATGATTCAATCAGCTCCGCCGAGCCATGAGGTTGCTCTGAGTCACGAGCCTGGAAAGCAGTCCGGCAGCGTGTCAACGGGCCCTTCGCAAAGTACGCCACAGAAGTCTAGAAAATGTCAGTCGGGTCACTCCCCCAATATCGAGTAGAGCATATTACCTTCGAAACGTAGAGAGCCTGTAGATAGTGATCTCTCATCCCGTCTAGCAACTCCTCAGGCGACTGTTGCACATCCACAACATTAGATCCAACACCATCAACCTCCATAGCTGCAGTGACATCCCCTAAGCCCTGAGATTCAGGAAGCAAGAAAGAACCCCCCTCAGCGGCATCAAAACTCTTAGACGGAGCAAGTGAATGACTCCGATGCTCTACAACACCCACAAAGGATGTCTCCGTATTCCCGAGATCAGAATCAGACGGACCAAAGACAACAGCAATATCCAGCCCAGCAAGCTTTTCGCCCATCTCAAGGTCAGAGAGGGGCTCATCGATCTGAGCAGCCTGCCACCAGTCAACCCCATCAGGAATAGCATTGATCTCGTCCACGGCCACACCATCCCCCTCCACCGCGTCAATGCCATGCCATCCCTTGGCCGCAACAACGATATTGCCCTCGTGCACCCATCGGGCGAGTTTGGAGAGAGAGTATATGCCCCTCTTCACTCTTTCTACAACGTACAGCCCGCCATTGGGTACCATACGCACAGCGAGGATAGTTGGTTCCGCCTTTGCTCGCAGATCAATTTCTAGTGTGGGGATGTCCGCGGAGAAAAGGCCGCCTGGTTGCTCATCGGACCGGGAGGCAGGCGTGTCGTCGAGCCATGAGAGGGGCAGTCTTGTGCGGGGGAGAGCGGCAATTGGTTCGAGGATTAAGGGTTCATCAGATAAAGACGCTGAAGGAGCCTATACAAGTTGCGAAGAGTGAGCAACAGCAAACAATGGATTGAGCGTATGCTGGGCTAATTAAAAGCGCAACTCACTCTTATGACGATGGAAGAGGTGGTGAGTTGTCTAGTAGCATCATTTATCTCATCTTGATCGACCCTTTTCCGCTTCCTTATGAGTGGAGGGGTCGGTTCGTGGAGTTTGTTCAGCGCGGATGAACTAAGCGGATCCAGGATACTAGGGACAGTACGCGAAGCCATGATCGCCTCTAGGAAATAGTGGGCATCCTGTAATTTGGATTCAAGAGTCGAGTCTCTAAATGAACAAAGCTTGAAAGCAATTGATGTTGTGCAGGTGTCGACAGATCGCGCTCGAATCTTAGCGGGTCTGGCGTCACGCGTCGGGACGTGCACTCCGCCTGGACCAATGTAAGACAAGTTAATTAGTTTCAACATAGTGATCAAGGGTATTTGTCTTACGAATTTCGTCTAGGTATTGAAATTGCTGATTTCGTAGGGGATTGAGTACGTCAAAAAGGAATTTAGAACACTAAAAGTAGTAGTATACTACGAAAAACAATATGTGAAAAAAATGTATGAAAATATTATTGAATCTATCGCTAATGTTTAGATTAGCAAGCCCAGGGCCAAGACGAAAAGAACCCTCAGGCACTCTCACAGAGAGTGCCGTAGAGATTCCCCTGAAACCGATAGAGCATGATCCAGCGTGGAAGCAGGACCAAAATCTCCTCGGTAGGCGTCATGGACAATGAGGTAGAGATATGGTGTTGAAGACTGTCGCTCCAGAAAAACGCCAAAAACTTCCTTTCCCAGCCGATGAAAAGTGGTATCATGTTGAATTTTGTCTTCGCCGTAAAGGCCCGTCATTTGCGCGACCATGCAGATAATGAAACAAGAGAAGTTGGTCTCCAAGGGGAAACCAACTTCTGGATTTTATGAGGGTTTTTTTTTATAGTCTATGCTCATCGTGCTTTGAGTTGTTGAAAACAAAGCAAATCATCACAGTCGTCAAGAGTTGTCCGGAGTCACCGGATCAAGCAAAGCCCGCTTAGAACTTGAGGGCACGGGGTGACTCCCAGGAGAACGACTGGTTAGTGAAGTGGCCGTTCTTAGCGGTCTGGTAGTAGATGGGCTTGGCCAGATCGAGATCCTTCACGATGACACCGGGACGGAGATCGAAGTTGTTGCGGATGATCTCGACCAGCTCGTCGGAGGTCTTGGAGGAAGTGCCGTAGGTCTCAACGAAGATGGAGAGGGGCTCAGCGACACCAATGGCGTAGGAGAGCTGAACGAGGGCACGGCGGGCAAGCTTGGCGTTGACCAGAGACTTGGCGATCCAGCGCGCAACGTAAGCGGCCGAGCGATCCACCTTGGAGTAATCCTTTCCGGAGAAAGCACCACCACCGTGGGCACCCCAGCCACCGTAGGTGTCGACGATGATTTTACGGCCAGTGAGACCAGCATCACCCTGAGGACCGCCAATGACGAAGCGGCCGGAGGGCTGGATGTGGTAGACAGTGCGGTCATCGAGAAGCTCGGCAGGGATGACCTTGCGAACAATCTTCTCCTTGATGACAGCGCGGAGCTCCTCAGTGGAGACATCATCGCTGTGCTGGGCAGAGACGACGACGGTATCGACACGCAGGGGCTTGACACCACCGTTGTCGTGGGCGTACTCAATGGTGACCTGAGTCTTGGTATCGGGGAGCAACCAGGGGATGGAGCCATCCTGGCGGGCAGCCTTCATGGCAGAGTTAAGCTTGTGGGAGAGGAGGACAGTCAAGGGCAGAAGCTCAGGGGTCTCGTCAGTGGCATAGCCGAACATGATACCCTGGTCACCAGCACCGAGCTTCTCAAGAGCATCATCGTAGTGAAGACCCTGAGCGATATCAGGGGACTGCTGCTCAATGGCAACCAAGACGTTGCAAGTCTTGTAGTCGAAGCCCTTCTCGGAGGCATCGTAACCGATGTCCTTGATAGCGCCACGGATAATCTTCTGGTAGTCCAGGTGGGCCTTGGTGGTAATCTCACCGAAGACCATAATCATACCTGGTGTAACATGTCAGATTGAAATCTGGCCTAAAGGAAATATGGTCAACCTACCGGTCTTGGTGGCAGTCTCGCAAGCGACCTTGGAGAGGGGATCCTCAGCAAGGCAAGCATCGAGGATGGCATCGGAAACCTGATCACTGTTGGTAGATTAATATACATGTGACAACAGGAATTGATGGTGTAAACCCCATCTAATAACTCTATGAGTGCAAAAATGACAGGTTTTAGGGGGTATAACTCACGCAATCTTATCGGGGTGACCCTCGCCGACAGACTCGGAGGTGAAGAGGAAAGTGCCGCTGTTTGAGACAGAACCCATTGTGATTGTGTGTGTGAAGAAACGGAAACTGGAAAAGAAAAAAAAAGGGAAAGAGGGATGGAGAGAGAAGGAAAAAAGGGAGGAAGATCTCTCGGGGAGGGGGGAATTTTTGGTGGGGTTTTGCTTTTTTTCCGAGTTACACAGACGGTACCAGAGAAAAGATAGTGTGGGTGGGGGACCAGTCAGGTACTACCGAAGTACCCTCGTTGATTACTCCGTACGCGGTACTTCTTTCCCTTGTCCCAGCCGTGATCGCGCCATCGGAGGGCGGTGACTATTGCGGTGACTATTGGCAGATTGGTGGACACCCAGCAAGCTCGGAATTTTCTTGTGACGATAAGATAGACAGGACCATTGAACTTCTTTTTGATACTTTTAACTCCATACACCACCATGTCTAAATTTGGTGTCCTGGTAATGGGTCCTGCAGGTGCAGGCAAGACCACCTTCAGCAATGCGGTAATCCAGCACCTTCAAACCACCCGCCGCAGCTGTTTCTACGTGAACCTCGACCCCGCCGCTGAGACATTCGCCTACGAACCAGATCTCGACATTCGTGACCTGATCACTTTAGAAGATGTGATGGAAGAGATGGGCCTAGGACCAAATGGAGGTCTCATATACTGCTTTGAGTTCCTACTCCAGAACCTGGAATTCCTATCAGAGGCACTAGAGCCATTGAGTGAAGAGTACTTGATCATCTTCGACATGCCAGGCCAAATCGAGCTCTACACACACATTCCTCTTCTACCAACCCTCACAACTTTCCTCTCCCGCCAAGGCCCATTGAATATCAACATGTGTGCCGCCTACCTACTCGAAAGCACTTTCGTCATCGATAAAGCCAAATTCTTCGCCGGCACGCTCAGCGCCATGTCCGCCATGCTGATGATGGAGATGCCCCACGTCAACATTCTCAGCAAGATGGACCAAGTCCGCGATATGGTGACACGTCGGGAATTGAAACGGTTTACCAATGTGGATGTACAATTGCTGCAAGAGAAGGAAGAGGACGATCTCACTGCAGGTGCCAACCCGATGGCCCCGGAAGCCTTGATGAGCGGCGGATCTTTCAAGCAGCTCAATCGGGCCGTTGGACAATTGATCGACGATTTTAGCATGGTTTCGTTCTTGCAATTGGATGTCTCAGATGAGGACAGCGTTGCGGCGATTGTGAGCCACATCGATGATGCTATCCAGTACCATGAGGCCCAGGAACCGAGAGAGCCCAAGGATGCAGTTGAGGTCAACTATGAGGATTGAGGGATATTGCACATGATTAATGCATCGCTGTGACTTGCAGCAAATCCTCTGCACATTCAAGACTCCCTACGACCGACCACTTCGCCCAATGCCCCCCCCCCCCATGCAGCAGCCTCGAGTTTCCGGTCGCAGAGCAGTCTGAGACAAAGCCGCTTTTCATCTCACACTGTTATTGTACAGCCTCACAATATTGGAAAGGTTTTCCAATATACTTGTCGCACCGGACTACACAGCATTTGGAGCCTCCTTGACAAACCATATTCATTACACAACCATGGCCGAGGCTACCGGAGGGTTGAAAGTTTTCTACACTGCAAATGGATATTCGGTCATATCCCTAGTTAATAGAAATCATAACGAAACCATAATGAAACCAAAATCAATTATTCATGAATATTGTTATGTCTAGAACTCCAAAAAAACAGGCCGTTAATCGCTAGACCAATTCAACAGGATGAAGTAAAGAAACAGGCATACCAGCCGCCCGGAAAGACAATAATAGGCCGAGGATGTTGAATATTAAGCAAACACTCTCAATTTTCATTACACGACCTCATCCAATAAATAGAACTAACCCACCCTATTTGGGTGCGTTCTCATAAGCCGCCGCGGCGATCTTGCTCTTTTCTTGAAAATCGCCCACAAACCCATATATCAGACCCCAAAGCCACCCAACATCCCTGCTCGCATTCTCAATGCCAACGCGGTAGACATACCAGCCGAGACCGAGAATCGAGCCCCAGAAGACAAGCCTGAAAGCGAGTGTGACCCAGAACATGACCACGCGGTAGGCGTAGTCTAGAATTTTGATGGAGACGAGGATTATGATGGCGAGAAGGAATAGTGAGAGCAGGTCTGGCATGGTGGAGGAGTAGGAGGCGAGGAAACTCGAGACGGGCTCAATTATGTAGGGTTGGAGTACCATTGTGCGTAGGTTCGAGAGTTTTGATGCGAGTTGGTCTTGTGTGGTTGTTTGAAGGTAGGCGAATGTGGGATTTTGGAGGACTGTTTGGAGGTTTTCTGTGTCTGTTGTTAGTTTGTGGGACTTTGCGTTGGGGTATTGTATCTATAAGGCTGGAGGCTAGGTGAGATAGATACCTGGTAGGAAGTCCATGATCGTTGTGTCTTTGGGGTATCTTTGATTATTGAAGTGGTAGAATGAGGAAAAGACAGGGCGGCGCTGACTCGCGTGTCAGGTCTGTGGTTTTACTTGGCTCGTCGGCGCTTTGTTTGAGAACTTTGGTTCTTTGTGACCCTTGAAGATGGATAGGTTCGAGGAAACCACCCGTGTAGGAGTGAACAAAAAATACTCTGGCTTTCAAAATTCAAAGACGTTGCTTCTTTGACTCGAAAGCGCTTTGTTTGGTCTCGCGCTGGAGCTCGTTGCGTTGTTTGTAGTCCGTTGTTTGTCGACGAGCAATGCGACCAGGCCGAGAAGGGGTTTCGTGAGATGTGGTGAAGGTCAGCTGAAGCGGAAACTAGAAGAGACTGTTTCTGAAGGTATATATTCCGATGCGATCAATAATAGGCAGGTCAAGAAGCGAATGTGACATTCGAGCTGGGGTTTCCAAGTTGCGTGGCACCTGTGTGATAAGAATATGCAAACCAAACAAACATTACATGTGAGGAGATCCCAATTAAACTCATCAAGTCTACTCCGTACTTCTACTGGGATACTAGTTTCACTTAATACATTATTCTCGGCTGATCTCGATATATTTCATGAATATCAGATTGATAGATGATACTGTACAGTATATTAGATATTTACCCAAATAGAGACGGTTTCTATATACAAGCGCGACCAACAACAGTCAACCGCCAGTCTCATGAGTGTGTGAAAGACAAAACACCCCAAGCCCAAGTTAAAGAAGAGGTCAGCGTGACGCCACACGCATGATCTTCATAAGAACCCAAAACAAAAACCCGAGACTCCGGGCTAACTCCAAGATTTTGTACTCTACCATCGCAGGCGATGGGAGCGCAAATGCATATGCAGACGTGGTATAGTAAGGCAGTAGAAAATAGCAAAGTGCGAGATTTGTCAAAATTACATGGCGTTGATGAGTCCCCTCAGGGCATCACGCTCAGCTTGGATCTCGATCTGGAGTTGGCGGGTTTGGCGGAGAGCGTCGTCTCTGTAGGATGAGTTAGTAAGATAGGATAAAAAGATGACGAAACACGAATTACATACCTGTCAGTTTGAAGCTGAGCCACATCGAGCTGCGTGCGGTTCATCCGTCCAACAACTTGCTCCATCTCCATATCCGCATCGCGGAGGAGCTTCTCGAGATCTTTGACTCGTCGTTCGAGGATGTCGGACTGGACAACCTCGGTCAAGGGTACACCCTCGCCGCTTGTGGTCTGGTCCAAACGTGGCGAGCGAGAATCGAATGGTGCACTCGGCGGCCGCGGGGAGAGAACGGCTGGGTTGCGAGCGCCATTCATCATCCGCGTGAGCTGGGCATTCTGGCTTTCCCTGAGCAAACGGATCTCCTCCTCATGCTTGGCAATCTCTTCTTCCGAGTGGTTTTGCGCAACCAAAAGAACATCCTCCAGCTCCCTCATGTTGTTTTGCAGAATATTAATCCGTTGAACCGAGATCTGGTGATCTTTGTCACCCTTGTCAATGGCCGCTGCTAGACGAGCATGAAGAGAGGTGTTGATCTGAAGCTGGTAATGGACTTTGCTGCCCAGTGCCTCAGTCCGGAGAAGGGAGGAAGCAAGCTCTTCTGAATCCACAACATGCGCTTCAGCCTCAGCTCGATCCGCCTGTAATTGCTGGAACGTAGATTTCAGGGAAGAGGATGTGGTGACGACCTCAGCAAAGCCTTCTTGATCGGTCATCAACTCTGCACCAGCGGCAGTGTCCTCCAGAAGAAGTGCGCGGAGAGAGCTGGTCTCCTGCTCGGCACGATCCAAATCCATCTTGAGACCAGCGAGGTTCTTCTCGCACTGCCACTTTCCATCTAGGGCATCCTCAGCGCGCATGCGGAGATGATTTACCTCATCGCGCAGGTTGTGCACATCTCTCTCATAGCCCAATTTCCGGGGCTGACCCGATTGCTGGGCTCGAGCAAGCTCCATTTCAAGCATACGAATACGCTTATCGTAGTCACGGGCCTGGTATGCCTGGCGAGCAAGAAGATTTCTCAATGTCCGGTGGAGGGCATCGCGTTGAACCTCGATATCGTGGACCTTATCAACCAACGATTCACGAGTTTCTGGTGATTTACCACCGCTGTTATTGTTGCTGACTGAGTTCGACCGAGAAAGGGAGCCCGAGCGAGCTAAGCCACTGGGCTTGCGTGCAATGGAACCCGATCGTGCTATTCCAAATGAAGAGTTTCTGGGTGAACTACCTTCCTCGGCAATTGAAGCGAATCGGCCACCCTGTAGCTGAGCTAAAGAGGCATTTTCAATTTTTAAAGCTTCAATTTCCTCCGCGAGATTATTGCCATCTCGAAGTTGATCTCGATCATTACGCAATTGTTCCAACTCTACTCGCATGGCGGTGAGCAAGTCCTCAAAGTTATCTTTGGATTGCCGCTCTTCGAGCAGCTTTCGCTTGGTATTTTCGAGAGCGGTCTCGAGTTCCTTAGTTTTCGACGATAGATCAGACGTATCCGTTCTCTCGCGTCGGAGCTAGATAAACGTTAGCAACAAGTCGCATGTTGCGCCTAGTTTGCGAGCCGTACCTGTTGAACTTGAGATTCTAAGATTTGGACATGCGACTCTGATGCCAACCGCTGAAACCGTTCCTCCTGTAACTTCTGCGATAATTCGACCTTGAGCTGTGCCCGTTCTTGCTCTGCAGCGCGGCGAATCTTTTCGATATCTTCGCTCTTCCCAGAATCTGAGGCATAGCGAACAGAGCTAGTACCCGAGTCTGAGAAATAATCACTAGTCCGTCGATTGACGTCCGGGCCTTCTGATTGCAGCCGTTCAACTAGATCCTCCAGATCCATTTCTCGGCGGATAGATCCTGCCAATTCAGAGCTTATCTCTCGTAATTCATTCTCAATTTCTGTCATCTTAGATAGAAATATATTTTCCTTTGAACTTGAAGCCCCCAGTGAAGGAGTCCGCGCTGGAGGATTATATCCATTGGTCTTGCTATCGTATGGAGAGCCGGGTCTAAAAGGGACATTCGCTAATGGTGGCATGGGGGAAGGCATTGCTGATCGACCGGAGTCGGAGATCTCGGTGCTCGATGAATCGCCTCCAGGGGATGTAACTGTATTATTATTCGCCTTCCATCCGAAAAAGGAGCTGATCTTGCCGGATGTTTTCGGTTGTCTTGGATCTCCCGCACCCATTGACATTGACATCGAGCGCGGATCCACGTCAATATGTAGTGGAGGTGGTCTATTCATAGGCATATGTAATGCCATACTCGTTGCCCGGCGTGACAATCGTTTCGTTGGAGGGGGGAGTTGAGGACTGGGATGAATGGTTCGCTATCTAGACGATTGTGCAGAGAGGTTCCATTCGTGAACTGGTGTGCGTATTCTTCGTCAAAGTAGTCAGGACTATCGTCGTCGTCGTTGTCCTCAAGCACAGATCTCAAGTACGAGGCGGAGCCTTGGCGGGAGGCGGCGGTATCGATGTGTAGGGGTTGGGTAGAGTTCCGTCCTCGAGAATATCTGGGGAATTTGGACGGAGGCACGCGATTAGTCTTCCAGGCTTTGGAGAAGCGGAATAGCATGTGTAGGCCATATCATGCTTGATGGGTAGGTATCCGGGGAGGAAAAGGAGGGTATGCAAAAAGATCCTGGAAGTGGAACAACCGGGTTATACTAGTCGCGTACCTATTTGAGTTCTTTGGTATCGATATAAATGAGTCTCCATCTACCGATAAAGGGGATAGTGGTCTGGCCACGGGTGCGGTGGGAATCAAAGTGGGTTTATCTCCCTCAAACGAAATAGGAGAGGAGGGATGATTAGGGCCCGAAGTCACTAGATCATCATTGTTCGGGAGAGGTTTCCTTTGCACTGGAGGAGTAGTTGGGGGATTAGAACTAGAGAAGCTCCCTGAATGGGCGGGGGAGCCGCCGAGCTCAAGAGGAGACGCCATGAAACACCCTGGTCCGTATCAAAAAATAGCCATGGATCGACAGTCGCTCATGCCGATAGCACGGGAAATAGAATGGCACGCGCCAATGAGACGACTAAAAGGGTAAGGATTATTCTCAGGAGAATATCAGACGAGAAAAGAAATGAGAGAAAAGGAGAAAGTTCTGGTCCAAACAAGCCGGGGCGATTGGCGCAAACCGCCCGTGGGTTCTCCATCCAGTAGCGCTGGCTTCGGGACAAGTAAGCGTGGGTGGAGCGCAGGGGGAAAGGCTGGCGTGGGTCTAGATTTGCATTGATTCAATTGGTACGAATACATCTCACAATGGTGCTCTGGCCGGTAGGATCGACATCGCTTGAACCTACAAGCGTGGCGATATCATTGATATTCCCATTCCTTGATAGTCTCGTTTATATTGGGTACGAAGTCTTCAGTAAAATGTTCTGTATAGTCTCAAAATCGGAGTATATGGAGATATAGTGACAAAGTTCGAAATATGAAAATAGAACATTCAATAGCGTCAAGTGGCACAAAGAACCCCCTTGAGTCGTGGATATGGAGATAATGCTTGGCGGATTCAGGGGTAGCCGCCTTTGTACCAGGAATGTACTTTTCTGTTGCTGCTCTTATCTTAATACTGAAAAGACACTTTCAAAGTACTTTCTGTCTACCTTAGGGCAATTAACTTTATGCTATACAATTTACAAAGTACAATGCCAACCCGTGGACTATATATGTATGTAACTACACCTGAAGCGCTATTCACTATTATACTAGATTTATATTATACATATCATATATGGGTTTTGCATATAACCTCAAATATGAAAATTTGAACTCAATACTCCGTACATATCTAATTGTTTGCAATAAATTAAGGGGGCCGTTTGAAAAAAAAAACATCATCTCCCACTGTGGAGATATTGCCCCTTTTCCCCTTCGGGAGTTCCCTTTCTGGTCCAAGCTTGTCAATTTTATGAAAAGACCAGTCCCTGACAGAAGAACGTGCCCAATTTAATCCTGCACGCTAACCATTCTGTTGTATCCAATCAAAGTGAGACGTCGATCAACACAGCGTCTCGCCAGACACTCGGGCCAGCGCGTGGGCCGGCATCTGTTGCTTCAACGGGCTAAGCGCCTAGGTACTAAAGAACATGTTCCTGCATCGTGTTACATCAGGAAGTTGGCCAATGTGATCTTACTTTGTACTACTCCGTACAGTCCACATATGTTGTACGTGAGATTACATGGCTGAATCCCAAGTTGCTCAGTACTGAAGACCCCACCTAAAAAGACACTACGGAGTACAATTCATATGAATTGTTTTCGCAACTGGGACTGATTGGACAACCGTGTGCTCCTTGCTTCAGCTCAGGACTCAAGGATTCAACTGTATGTTGTACATTGATGTCCATGTATACTTCTTAATCTCCCGTGTTGTCGGGAAAAGGCGTAGCACTAATCACCACACTACTCTTAATTAACGCTAGGGTCGGATAATATTAAATTAGACATATTGTGTCTCAAACCTCTTACATATCTATATGCGCTTCTCCGTACAGAGTACGGAGTACTCAAGGCGTCTATGGTAACTTTGGAACCTTTTTTCTTGGTATATAATGGAGAAAATCCGCAAAGAGAAAGATCTTCAATTTCTGCACCTTCGTTGTAGAAATTGAATTGAATGCAGTGTCTAGATTTTAATACCAGAGCACAATTATTTGCAAAGCTATTGAGATAAATACAAACTGACTTTTTCCTAATATCGGTGACATCCAAAAGGACATCCCCACGACGGCTTCTTCTTTCTTTTACAGTCACAGTCCAACCTATTGAATGACCCGCTGTTCTTTCCTATCATTTTATCGAACCAATCCTCCATTTCTAGATTCTATCAGTAACCGCTGGGACTAATAAAAAAAAGGAGGCACCACTAACCTTTGTCCTCCTTGAGGCGTAGAATGCGATCACTCGGACAGCGAACAATTGGCCTCAAGCGGGAAATCCATTCTTTCAACGAAAGATTAGCTTTGCGAATGTCAAAATCCACTCGGCCACTTTGTTCGTTTTTATTGTTGACTCTTTTGAAATAATAATAATTGCCGTCACAGATAATATCTTCTAATAAGAGTGTTTCTAGAGATAGCTCGTTCTGTAAAGTGTCCAAAAGACTAGACACACAAGTCACCTTTTCTTAGTTGCGTTCCCATGCCATTCGGGTTTCCCGGGTCGGATAGACAGAATCTTGAGTATATTCAGATAGACAATATGGGTGATAAGCATAATTAGGTGGAGAATATGGGTGATAAGTAGATAACCACTTTGCGCTTGGATATTCTTCTGTCGTCGACTCAGAGGATTCAGAAGTCGGCGGGGCAACGGTTGGTACAAATGATGGCGATGTTGGTACAAACGATGGCAATGTTGGTACAAACGATGGCAATGTTGGTACGAACGATGGCAATGTTGGTACAAACGATGGCGATGTATATTGAAATATAGGTGAGTCGGGGTACCTCGAGGGTGAAGTCGGAGAAAGTCCAGCACCGTAAGGTGTATCGGTAGATATCCACGGGATAGATCTTTCATTTTCTTGGTAGCCGGGAGACTCGCTATGTTGCGATCTAGGATTTTCTGCAGCTCTCAACTCCTCGCTGCGTATTTTCACCCGTTCAAGTGTAAGAGTGACCAGATTTTTCTTTAAGCTAAGCAATAGTGATTTCAAAGAGTTGAAATAGATATCAAACTCGTGAATATGAAGCTCTCGGAGTCGAGTGAAGCTAATGTCATGGAACATGTTTCCAACGTAGCTTTTTGCTGGATAGCCAGGTATCTCATCTTGAACAAGATAAAAAGGTATATGATCCCGCGACAAAACCAGTCCTTCCAGTTGAGGTGCAAGCTTCGTGAAAAATTTCAGCCAAGTCGCCTCATTGAGATCAAGACATAAATGAAGATCCTCTAGGTCTTTCAAAGTAGACAGTAGAGAGTCAAATTGTTCTTCGGAGAGGGTAATGGGGCCGATATCACTACAGAAATTAGAATCGCAGGTATACAGCTTTCGGGGTCTGCAGCTTGAGCCACATAGCGCAAGAAAAAGTTTCGATAATGCTAAGGAGTTCAGTTTTCTTATCTGGCTATCCTGATCGGTAAAGGTTTGCAGGCTGTAAATATCGAATCGAAAATCAATCCGGCTTATTATCTGTCGCCTTCCCAGGAATAGAACTTTCTGCTGTCGTGGATCAAGCAAGAATTCTGTTTTGTAATGTGCGAGTCCTATTGTTTGGAGGTTCTTAAATCGATCTATACATTCCCGAAGTCGAACACTGAATGCTTCTGATTCCAGCAGGTTGGAATTATCTGCAAGCATAGCTTTATAGATAGTATACCGACTTTCCAGCGCATCGCCATTGACTTGTCGGCAGCTTTTTGATGATATAGATACCATACCGAGGGGCTTTTCAGTACCATCGAAGACAATAGGTATCATCCATAGCTCTTGGACGTGCTCACACAGACCATTTAACTTGGATAATTCTTCCAGTTCGTGGAGACTTTCGCTTGTCACAATAAAACGGATTTTTCGGTAAAAGGTTGCGAAATTCTCCAGTGAGTTTTTGTACAATGCGCGGCATGATAACCTCAGAGCGACCAATTGCTGGAAATCCGAATGGTTACATATTTTTGAGATCAATTTCACGGGCAGAGCTGCAATGGACATTTTGGCGTGTGGCGTTCCAAGGTAAGATTTCTGGGTTGAGAGAGAAAGAGAAGAGTATTATTGTGCAGCGCTGGAGCGGCAGCCCCCGTTTATAAGACGTATTTGAGACAGAAAATTGAAATACCTGTAATACCATATCAACAGCCATACAGTAACATTGCAAAGGATTGATTTGCACCTTCTTCGGGCCCTTTCGGACCCCTCTTTGATCCCTACGGAAAGCCAAATCCACCTCTGGCAGATTTTCTTTTTTTTCAGCCTCATCCACAGTATCCATACGGAGCAGGTGAACATTTCGACAAGGTTTGTAGCGCGGCTGGATCCCTGACACAGACGATGCGATTATTCTAGCTATCATTTGAACGGGGGCGTCTGGTCGATTAATTCTGATGTTATTCTGGAAGATCCTGATAAAAAGGGCCCAAAAGCCAAAATTACACTAAACCAACCGACAATCTACGCCGATATACCAGTTCCAAAAGTTCCGCGTGACTGGATCGATCGTGATAGACGATACTTCTGTATGACCGAAAGTATATATATTCAATACCTGAAGATAATGCATGCCTCTTTGCCCCGGTGAAGTGAGTGAGAGTATGATCCAAAAAAGTGAATGTTAGACTATAGTTATCATGTGAAATGTTGAATCAGGATTCTTGTTCGTGTATTTGCATGCTTCATCTCAAGAAAGTATAAAAATACCGCAAGAACACCGGTGTCTAGACAGTAAAAGATTCCCCTTCATAATATTCATAGATATTATCCCATTAAATCCATGCCCCGATATTGGAATCAAGGCCCGAAACCCCGATTCCAATTGGGATTATACCCTTGCGAAGTCCCGAAGACATTCCGCATTTGATAATTTCCATTTGTGCTTTCATAAACGGTAAACCCGGCCATACACCCAAGGATTACATGGAAGAAACCAGTGATGACACCGTATACAGCCCCAGCTGCTGCTGCAACGTTGTAAGGGCAGATATCGTAGCCTGCATTTTTGAAAGTCCAAGTATTAGTCAAATAATATATCAACATATGCAACAGAAGCAGCGAAGAGAGTAGCTCTCAAAGTTTTCATGGTATAGAAGAGATGGCAACTAACCTCCATTATGTGCCATGCGAGCAAACACGTATCCCCCCAAGGCATCGAACCCCATAATACCTAGTTGTGTCTGAGGTTTGCCACCGTATAGTCCCCCAGCCGCTGAAACACGAAGCAAGATTAGCAACGGGGAGCCGCAAACGGGGAAACAGGACTTACATTGATATATACCAATAGATTCTCCTGCAAGGGGAATAGCAGCGACAACCGCCGCAATAAGTAACGCGCTTGGTGCTATATACCGTTAGCACACAATCATGGGCTAGATAATAACCACCAGCTCAAGTCGCATAACATGGAGCTTTTAGCCAAACAATATTTCAGTGGACAGAGTTGTACTTACTTTCTCCAAGAACCAAATTACTAACCTCCGCCGTGACCAAGACACATATTCCAAATCCACTTGCCACCAATGCCAACAATATCCACGCGGGGGTTGGTAAGCCCGCGTATCCCGCGAATTCGACGAATGCCAATACCCCTGATTTAGTGACTCCAGCGAGCGCGCCGATTTGCATTGCTCTCGCTGTCAGTGGACTCCCATTGACATGCGCCGCGGTCGCTACTGCAGCTGGACCGGCGGCCGCGTTCACTGCGACATCCAGCGCAGCTAGAGCGAAGAATGTCCATACTAGAGTAACGGGTAGAGTAAGTACTGGGTCGAAGCATGATAAAACCACAAGGGAGGAGTGATTCTAATTTAGTTTGGGCTCATAGGTAGGGAAAATTGAGAACTTACTGTTGATAGCAGGACGTTGGACACCATCCATATCATCCATGGTGAGAATTGTTAGCAACAACCAGTTCACTTTATGTACTGTAATAGGAGTAGTAAAAATTCATAAAGTCGAATTATATGTAAAATGAGAGTGGGTGTCTTATAAGAAAATCCAATTTCTTAGCCAAGGCTTGATATATAGGCAAGCTCCCCATTTTTCGTTGCCAAAAGCCTCGTGGAGTCACATGGATGACTCCGGGGGAGGCTGAAAAATAACAGTGCCCTGTTTCGATGAGAACAAGTAAATCAATCACGAAATTAAACGAACAGCTGCAGTAGCTTGATGATATAGTTCCTGATTGACCAATCAAGGGACTCATTTGCCGAAACTAAGACTCTGGCGTTCCCCCAATGAGCCCTGATTCGGCCTTAGCGGATTCTGCAGTAAGCATCGTTCAGGCACTAAATGGGGCATCCTAAGGCGACCCAATCCCAGTGCGATTAATATCGTCTTGGCAGACTCAGCCGCAGCCTTTTGTTTGTATTAAACTTCTAAGAACGAGATTTTGGACTGGCGATCGGGGTTTCGTGGCGCAATGCTGCTGCTTAGCCACTTTTGTCCCCGGGCACATGCGTTTTCTCTTTTTTCCCCTTGGCTTGCTTTGCACTTTCGTCATGCGAACCGAGAGAGACTCATCGAGAAATTTAAAAGCGATAATGCATACTTGAACCAAAACTAAGATATAGACCGTCTCACCCCCAGGTCGCGGTAGCATATCGCTTGGAAAGTCTTTACAGCAATCATTGTGCCACACAAAATGAGCTCAACAGCCTGTGTCATCGAGGCCAACCCCGATGTAACTGGAGTCGGAGTAAGTTTCGTCTCATATGCCATCATTCTCATCCTATCGCCATCTAGCTCCCTGCCGGGAATGAAAGAAACCTTCCGCTAAACCATCACTCACAGATCCGTATATCGATCTATGCCCTCTGCCTAGGCGGGTCGATTGTTAGCTATTTGCTCCGCGTATTTTCCCCAGGCGAAGACCAAGAAGAGTTCTCGCGAGGCGTCTCCTCTGTCCTTGGCATGCAAGGCCTAGCCCTCCTCTGCACAGCAATCTACCAGACAGTTCGGGGCGATCTAACACTCTTCCACGCGATATGTGTTGTGCACCTTCTCGCCATGCTTGGCATGGACATGGTGAGCAAAGGCCGATATGCAGGACTCGGCCCATGGCGGCTGTATTTCTTTTCTGCACTCCAGATCCTGGCTTTGGCGGCTTTTCTCGCTTTAAACGTCTATGTCTGGGTGACAGCGCCGCAATTTGGCAGCCAGCCTCAGTGCAATAAAGACACTGTATATGTTGTCTTTGGCGTCAGCATCAAGGCCACTTCTCCTGTATTCCGGTATATCATTCTCGCGACGTTGGGTGTGGTTGTGGCTTGTTATGCTCTTGCTTTCACGTGTATGTTACCGTGTCTGTGTGGGTTTTATGCGTATCGAAGACGGCATCCCGGAACTGGAAATAGGATTGAGGTCCAGAAGAGAGGTTGGATGAATTGGTTTGTGGAGGTTAATCATCCTGTTTATCAGGATCGTCAGGAGCCACCTGAGAGATTGCATGGCCAGGCGCTGCTCAACTTTACACTGAACAAGATCGCGTATTGTTCGTTCTGCATATACTTGATTGTTTCGCTGGAACAGACTATCCAGCGCAATAACCTCGACCCCGAAGAGAAAGGATGGACATTTGGACAGGTTATTGCGATTTTCTTGTTGTTGGGTGTCGCCAACGAGCTACTTAATGTTTTTCTTGCGAGTTGGGATAGGAAGCAGAGTGAAAGTGCTCAGCAGTTGGTGCAGTTCAGGCCGGGCACTGGGAACTCAGTGCGTTCCTCATCTACTTGATACATATTTTTATGTTCATAAAGCAATGTTTCGCACTATACGAGTGTTTCTTAGAAATCGCCACGAGCTCCGATCTCGCCTGTAAGTCTAAATGGTTATGATCAGTATAACTGTAGTAACATAGAAGACCAGAGCAGAAGACTTGTCGTGTGACTATATTCTGGAAGCCATGATAATTGCTTGGGTATTGTTAGCAGAAGCTTGCTAGGGCTGGTATCAGAATGCAAACAAGGGTTAGAGAAGGTCTCATTTTCCAAGGTCGAAGTGACCTCGGCCAGGACATCTGCAGGTATGACTGCTCGGCTAAAAAGGGAAGTCGCACTATGATGCAATTCATTGTAGGGCACTAATTAATTTGTACAAGACAGGATATATTCTATTTACAAATCAGAGTGGTGTAAGTCTAAGCATGGAAGATCCCAGCCATGAAGCGTCCACCTGGCGGTTCACTAAATGGTAGGTAAACATCTGACCGGTTCACCCTCATTTCATAGTACTATCGACCAGCTCGCGGTAGATCTTCTTGAGATCAGCGATATCGGCGTTTAGTTCGTCAACCTGTTCGCTCTTCTCGCCCAGCATCTCCAGAGTAGTCTGGTAGCGCTGATCAAGGTCTTTGAGTTCAGCTTCGAGTTCCTGCAGGCGGGAATCTGAGTGCTGCTTCTCTTCGAGCTCACGCATAAGGTCCACAACTTGTTGCCGAGCTTCGTCGCGCTGCGCTGTCACGCGGGCAAGCTCATCCTTAGAACCGGCGCGCTCGCTCTCTAAGCGGCGGACTGTGGCACTCATGCGCTCGACCAGCTGCACAGAAGGGCCGGCGCCGACGGTTGACTCAGAGATTATGTCGTTGATACCACGCGATTGAGGTGCTTGGGTGCCGCCGTATGCTGAAGGAGTAGCAGGAGTACCAGAATCTCCGAAATACTCGTCCGGCTCAAAGCTGATGGAGGGCGCTCCCATGATCGATGGATTGTTGTTGATGTGTGGGGGAGAGAGTGTGGCTTGGGTGATTGAGGCAGGGTAGGAGTTTTGCCGAGGCGGCGTGCCGATTTCCGGCGAGGTGAAGGGCATATTAGATGAGCGCCGGCTAGGAGGACGGAAGTCCGACTGCCCTGGGATCATGGCTTCAAGGGTGCTTGATCGCCGTAGAGATGCAACAGGTGATACTCCACGCAGGTGCGACGAGGAGTTCACTTGCTCTCTCCACTTGGCTCGCTCTTCCTCGAGCTTCTGCGCCCACGTTGCGTCGCATGTTTTCTTCTGTTCGGCCATGTCCTTTTGCGTTGAGGCGAGGTCCTCTGCCGCTTTCTCGAGTTTCTGTTGCAGCTTCTGCAGCTCTTCTATGCGTTCCTCGAGCCTGCTGTTCAAATCGTGCTCAGCTTCTTTGGCGTTGTCTAGTTCCTCTTCGAACTTTTTTAACTTTTGGCTCTGTATTGATTCTGGTTAATCTCGCGATACACCAAGCCATAGAATTTGATATCTTACCATCTCTCGAATCTTCTTCCGAAGGTCGTTCTCACGTCGACCAGTATCATCGCGTTCTCTCTCCACACTAGCTAGCCGTGAGAGTAAAGAACCCTCTAGTGTATGCCAGTTTTCACTAGCGACAGCATATTGAGTTTGCAGGGTCTCGATCTGGCGCAGTAGTTTGGCTTGCGTCTCTCCTGTTGCCCCCGATGAAGCTTCCTCTGCGCGGGAGCGAAGACTTTCCATCTTGCTTTCTAAGACAGACTGTTCACCTTTCAATTCGGCCTCAAGCATTCGAGCCCTTTCTTTCTCCTGCTCTATCTTCTCTTTCAACTCTGTGATTTCCTTTTCGGATTTTTTTTCACTGATGTCACGCTCGATCTTTAGGTTGCATAGCTCCTCGTCTAGCTCCGTCGCCCGTTGCTTTTCTAGCTCTAGAGCATCAGAGTTCGCCTTTGTTTCGGCAGTTTCGGCGCGGGAAACTGCCCGACTCAATTGCGATTTTATCTCTTGGACAGTCTGACTGAGCGCATTGCGTTCGTTGGTAAGAGCTTCCAAGTCTTTTGTCGACTTTGTTTGGGATGACAATGACTCAGTTGCCCTCTTCTCTGCAGCCTCTGCCCGCTTGGCTCTTGCTTCGGAGTTGACTAAATCTCGCTCAAGCTTGTCCATCTTTCTCTTCATTTCAGTCTGAGATTTGCTGTTTTCAGTAAGTTGCTGGCGCAATTTCTTGATCACCGTGCGGTGGTCCATCTCCGACTTGGACAACTTCTGCCCTTCTTCAAGGAGCAATGCAATCTTCTCATGCTTCTCTAAAAGCTGCTTTTGTACACTCCCTGGGGTAGCACTTGCTGCGGCATTTTTGGCTGATTCCGCTGCATCCTTGGCGAGGTATTTCAACTTCGACTGCAATGCATCAATACGTTCAATATAACCATGCATTTCTTCTTGCCATTGAGACTCGGCAGTTTTATGCTCAGCCTGCAAGCGAGCAATGTCCGGGTTTTCACTCTCTGGCACTTCTGATGGCGATTCAATGCTAACCCGCGGACCATCGCCTGAAGCAATATCCCTCAGTGGTTCATTGTTTTGCGAATCTGACATTTCTTGACTGGCTTTGGGCAGGTCGGTTGATGTTCGAGCCACATCTACGGAGGTCCTGGGCGCGGAGTCTGTGACGCTGACGTCCATTGAAACACGCGGTGATACCCCGGAGTCGTAGCTTATCCTCGGTGAGGCTAATTTAGCTGCATTGCTGTCGTCGTTCGGCTCAGAGATCTTGGGGTCTTCCACCGCACTATTCACTGATGCAACGCTGGAATCAATGTCCATACTCGACCGAGCCCCATTACTAGGTACTGGACTAGCAGGCGGCGATGAAACTCGGCCCTGTGGAGGCTGAGAAGATAGATTCGAGGCATTTTGCTTCACCATAGCTCGGGCTAGACGTTCCTGGAGCCGGTCATTTCTTCGCGCGGTCGATGCACTGCGGGAAACCGCTGGAAGATGTTAGCCAGTTCTACTGGGTTGCACATGTGTTGTGGATTTCATACAAGCAACAGGAACCTTTGTCGGTGGTGCTTCTCCGCCCTGAGTTTCAGTGGACTTTGCAACAGAGGTCTGATTCCCCTCATCATCCATCAAGATGTGATCCAGCCGAGACTCGACGCCGGCTACTGCCTGCTGGAAGAAAGAACCCACTCCCCATTTTGACTTTTGTGTCTGCGAGTTCTGTGTCATTGTGGCAGAATTACTGAGTTCGAATTTGCGACCAGGCTACTAAGCGGCAAATGCCTCGTGTCGCATTCGCATGGATTCGGTGGGGGCTGCGCTCGGACGTCGACTTGTTGCGACTATCGTGGGGGACGTTTCAGAGTCGATTCGACGACAATTCTTGCTAGACGTGTCGAAGCTTAGGCGGCAATGGCAAGGACTTGCTGCGAGGGCGAAATGAGAGAAGACTGGCAGGATTTAAGCCGAATTCAAAGTACTAGGCGGAAACCGGAACAAAGATTAAGGCGCTGGACCGATAAGCCAGTGAAACGCGAGGCAAATGATTGACGAAGACCTATAGAAACAAGAAAAACGATAGAGAAATAGGAAGCGAAAATCAAAATAGAGAACAGAGAACATACAAAGTAGGTTGAGGCTATGCGTTGAGATACCGTCGGTCTTGGCACAGGCTTCCGTCATCTCCAAGCTCCCCCGTCTATCTGGACACACCTCCAGTTGTATCCATTCACGGCCAGCGACGCTCCTTTTTCTGGCTCCAAATCTCCCAGATTACACTCACAATGTCACTGGAGCCACCCACCTACCTCAGCTCCCTCCAGAATAATATTCGAGCTCGCCCAATTCCATGGGAGGGTGCCGTCCGAGCGGGCAACATCACCGATGACCACTTGAAGAAGATCAAGGCGGTGGATAAGGTGCGCAAAGACCAACGCCGCCAGACGATAGAAGGAGATCTTGCTGGATACACGGAGCTGCTGGTCGGCGGCGCACAGGGAAAGAGTGTCTTGGACTCGGCCTCTCGAAGGACCGATATTGTGCAGTATATACTGGTACTGGCCTCGGACTTGATTCAAGGTATATGCTACTGGCGGAGCTGAATTTCCGAGGAATTATGCTGATCTGAACTACAATAAATAGATGTGCCTTCTCTGGCCAACTCGCTTGTTTCTCACCCAGAACCGTACAAGCCCTTCCTACCGTTCCTGCAGCACTCGACAAATGCTGAAGACCCCATTCCTCTGCTCACGTCCACCTTTCTCACAGCGCTTGTGTCGCACAGTCTTGTTACTTCGCCCAAACCCGCGCCACGCGATAACGAGGCTCTCCCACAGCTCTACACCTATCTCTCTACCTTAACCAAGAATCAGGACAGTGGACTCCAGGACATCGGTGTCCAAGGATTCTCAGAGCTGTTGAGAACAAGCCGATCCCGGGAGATCTTTTGGGCGCAGCGTCAAGAGACCCTGACCCCCTTGATCGACACTCTTCGAGCTGCAGCGGGGGCTAAAGACAACGCAAGCAGCGCAAACGCACTGGGAAGCAGCACTCGCAGCGTCGAGCCTGGTATCGCCGGTGGTATTGGCCTCCAGCTTCTATATCGGGTGCTCCTTGTTCTGTGGCAGCTTGCGTTTGAAGGCGCTCTTGTTGGCGATGAACTTCAAGAGTAAGTGATGTGACAACAGGCAATCTGTTTACACTCTAAGCGTCTACTAACTCCTCACTCCTCCTAGGAACTATGAAATTATCCAACTCTACACCCACCTTCTGCGTCTCTCACCGAAAGAAAAGACCACTCGTTTGCTTGTTGCAACCCTGTACAATCTTTGCTCTAGCAACCGGACGACTCTGCTGCCCATTGCCGTGTTCCTTCGACTCCCCGCCCTCCTGACCAACTTGGGTGGTCGTCACTTGACCGACCCCGACCTGCTCGAGGATCTCAACTCGCTCTCTTCCATGTTGGAAGAGTACACTAAAACACAGACCACCTTCGATGAATATGCCGCTGAAGTTCACTCGGGCCACTTGCGCTGGTCGCCCCCTCACAAGAACCCGACCTTCTGGAAAGAGAACGCTCGACGCATTGTTGAGGATTCAAACGGCGCTTTGCCCAAGAAGCTGGTTGAGATTCTGTCTAAGAGTTGGGATAACGACAAGCAGGTGCTAGCTATTGCTTGCAACGACGTAGGGCACTTAGTGAAGGAGGTTCCCGAACGCCGTGGGCAGTTGGAGCGACTAGGCTTAAAGACGCGGGTGATGGAACTGATGGTTGATCAAGATGAATCAGTACGGTGGGAGAGCTTGCACGCCGTCGGCGAGTGGCTTCGATATACCTTTGAGGGCTAATACCTCAAAAGGGGATATTTTTGATATGTTGATGGCTTTCCAGGATGGACATATACTCTGGTTAGCATGTACTGTGTATTTTCTTGCGCTAGCGCATACTCGCTTCCTTTTTTGGGGATTTTAGAATCACACTCATCTATGTCATTCATGGCCCTCTCGATTCTGATATTCTAAATGTACTCGGTGGATCTTGCGATCGACCACTAAAAAACCCAAGATATGCAACGGTGCAGCAAGATAAGAACACCCAACTTGCTCCTCGATTTTTTTTCCATAGAATCCAATATAATCATTTTAAACTTATATTCCCCCAGAAATTATATTTGCCACGCGGGCGGATTATGTCCGGGGAGCTTCCATTCCCCCGCAGAAATTCTTCGCCGAGAACATCATCCCACCAACAGCACCCATGTCGAGATCCTTCACAGGTTGCAAGAGATGTAAAGCGCGCCGACAAAAATGTGACGAGCAGAGACCGAACTGTGGGCGCTGCCAGACTGCAGGCGAGCAATGCCAATATGCAATGCAGTTGCAGTGGGGTGGACGAGCGTTCTCGCGATCCCGGTTTGGTGCTTGCGTCGGCACAGGAGGAATGCAGAGACTCGGTATGTGCTTCATACTAGAGGGGCCTTGTACATAATTCTGACCATTCCAGAATATTCACCAGGAGAGTTTATCTACACCACCAAGAAGGCGGTGCAGTCAGCGCCAGTCAGCGCCAGACCCGCATCAGATCTTACTCTGTCGCAACCCGTCGACCCCTTCGCGTCCTTATCGTCCAGTCAAAAGGCCTTGTTGCACCATTTTATCAACGAAGCCTCACAAATCACAGCGTGTCATTCGGGAATGCAGCAGGACATATGTCGCATGCTGATTCCAATGGCTCTCCAGACTCCCTCCTTACTCTACGCTACCACCGCCCTATCGGCGATCCATATACAAGCCCTAAACAACCAGTCGGAGAGCGTAAAAACAGCACCGGATATTGCCCAGCTAATGGCTCTCAGTCTTGAACATTTCCGAACAGAGCTACTGAACCCTTCATCCAAGGACCCGGAGGCGCTGGTAGCGACGGCTCGGACGCTCTGTCTAGCTGAGATTCATTCTGGGGCGATCAACCCAAACTCATGGAGAGCACATATTGACGGGGCGAGAGCATTGATGAAGGCATCAGACGCCGCTGGTGAGGATTCACTGCGTTCTACAAGCGGTTTCCGGCGGTATTTGGATCGTTGGTACTGGTCGATCGTGTCGCTTACAGCACTGACGGGCAATGGTCCACCTATTGGAGATACCTCGGACTTCGCCTCCTCTGATTTGATGGGGCTGGGCGAGTCTCCTGATTATTTAGATGACTATTGGGGGTTCAGTGTAGACCTTGCGGCTGTCTTCAGACAGATCGGTGCTGCCGCTTGGCGAAGCCATGAAATCGAAAAGGCTACTCACGGATTTGTTGCAGGAGAGATTGACGACAGTGTCGAGAATGATGCTGCGTCCTTGGAGTTCGCAATTCGACAGCTCATGAATCGTGACTCAACCTCGCAGCCCTTGTTTTACCCTAGCGCTGCAAAAGGCTTATCTGCAGAGAGCGCGCAGCAGCTCCTGCTATGCAATGAGGCGTTCCAACACAGCGCGCTTATTCAGATCCACCGACGGCTTCGAAAGACACCAACTACGTCGCCAGAGGTGCAACAATCGGTCCAGCGTATCCTGGAGTGCACCGCGCAGATTGGGCCATCGTCAGGTCTCTCGCCCTGGGTGATGTTAACGACACCAATCTTTATTGCAGGCTGCGAGGCGCGTGGTCAAGATCGAGTTACAGTCAAGCAACTGCTGTCATCCTTGCATGACACTATTCGCGTTCCGAATGTTCTTCAGTCGTTGAAATTCCTTGAGCAGTATTGGTCTAACCAACTGAGTGAGGAAGAGGACTGGAGCCACTTCCTTGGTAAGACCTTTTTTTAATCGTTTCTTTGTGTTTTCATGCTAACATCTCATAGAACGAATGCAATTCGATTTCATCCCTTACTAAGGAGACCAGTTGACGAGAGCCTGTTATGCCTCATGTGCAATGATTCATGCTTTTGAGTTCAGGTTGTATATATTATTTTCTTTTGTTTATACCATAAGGTTATATGTCAACAAGCCGGTGTTGGCAGGGGTTTTGGAGTGCATATTCAAGTCCTGGCGTTTGGAAGCTGTGGCCAGTGATAAATATTTTTTTAGCAATTGTACACAAAATGTCTTTCCCATTGGAACCTAGCACTGCTCTTTGTGTTCATCCGTGGTCAAATATCTGGCTGATAGGTATTAGCTTGTCTGGGTAATTGTTTCATTGGAAACACTTACCTCAAGTGAGAGACGCCAGGTACGTCCAAAGACGGAGGTACGTAGCCAGGCTCTGGACATAACAAGTGACGGATCGAAATGATAAGCTGATTGCATCGTTTTATTTTGGTATTTCTTTATTGATCCCAAGCGATAATAATCCCTCTAGGCTTGGAGTATATAGTAACGTGAGCCGTGTCAAGTGTACCAACACCACTACCCAGTGTTAGTGCGTGTAAACAGAATCTACAGATTAGGTCTATTTTGTTTGGTTTACCCATTCAGCGGGTACTTAAACACCGTATATATCAGAAGATGCATATAGCGTGGAGTTATGTTTTATTTAATGGAAATTCAAGGTGTGCTCAGCACGAGCATCTACCTAGCAGTTCGGATATATATTTCTACCACAATCTTTACATATGTATGTCTTTTTGCAATATCATCATTATTTCACAGTAAATATCTAAATTAAGCCTAATACTAGATCAATCGAGAATTATACTATATTTTTACTCTTCCTCTTTAGCTACTCTGGTTGAGAAAAATTTAGAATTCGTGCAGTGTTCAAGTATCCTTTGTATAGGCGATCACACAAAAAATACTTAATTTCTGTTAGTACTTTTTACTGAGCACCCACCAATCAACTGGGCTTGTGGTTTAGTGGTATAATACTCCCTTAGCATGGGAGTGGTCCAGGGTTCGATTCCCTGCAAGTCCAGATCTTTTTGCCAATTTCTTTATTGATAATAATATAACCGATGCATTATGCCTGGACAGTTGTGCAGTGGCTAGCAAGCCTAGCATGATTGGAAGAGTCGGGGTCAGGGTGAGCATAAATTTTTTTTTTTTTTTTTTTTTCATATACTGTATTTTGTATATGAATCCTGCAATGATGTCCGTCGGTTCGGTTTGGCACAGACTACAACGCATATTATAACATCCCATTATCGATCATTAGATTCATTCCAATCCTTTGGAACAAGGCACCTAGATCCATAAAGGATCTTGATTCGAAACGTAGTACATATATAATCTTGGGAAGTAAGCATATAGTCTGTCCGTTCTAACCTCATTTAACAGTGTCTCATCCAACCCAGGGATATCCTTCTTGTCATTTTTATTTCTCTGATTTCACCTCTAAAAATGGAACCTGCCATTCGAGATGACCTTTACCTACCCCAAGTACGCGGATAGTCTATTCGCTGCGAATGTTTTCTTCCGTAGTGCGCTTTTTGCACATCCGTTATCTGGGAGCTTGAGTGTTGCTCGAGGTGTCAACCTTCTTGGTAAATTGAGTGTTATAGGTATCGTTGCAGGATATTTATTGATAATGATGACATGGGAAATATGTTTCAAGGTCTAGCGAGAGGAATGAAGAGTCGTTGCTCTATTGAGCAATGAGCGTACAGATTTTGAAGCTTGAACTACCTTATAGGAATATTAATCTATAATACTCTGAGACCTATTTCTTGAATAATTAGATGAGTCAAGCTCAACAATTATGGGTCATGTTCATCGTTGGAATAGTCGAGCGCTAGTCCTTCTCGGTGGCAATTGAGACATTACTAGTACGGAGTATGTGCTAGTCCACGGGTGCTACCTATGTACCCCGTACTAGCAGTGGATCCTATCTAGTTAGTTAGCTTGCACATGGGAGGTCTATTATGTAACTAGTAATCTATGAGAATAAGCATGATATTTGAAATATGGGAGAGTTGCTTTTTCTATACTATGTATTAGAACTAAGAGGACCTGTTGATAACCTTGAATGATCTAGAAAAATGTTTCCAGACCATAATTAAAATTGCCCATCTCCGGCTTTTTTTATCCACAGAGAGTCTTGATATCCTCAGGAACGTAGACCTTCAGGATATCAATGAGCTGCGAGACAGGGACCCAGTCAAGAACACCGTGGATGGTGCGAATGGGGTGGCCACTGTACAGAACACGGGCGTAGTAGGACTTCTCATACTTTCCGTGCTTTCCCTTTCTATCTTGTGTCTCCCTGAAAAAAAAAATTGTTAGAGAATGCCAATATATCAGAAAGTGGTGTGACTTACCAGATCTCAAAGGCAATGTTAGATGCCATACCGGGCCAGCGAAGAGTGTCGATTCCAAGAGCACCGAGCATAGGACCGATATCGCCATCGTGAATGAAGATGTGGCTGTAATCAATGGAAGACTTTCCGTCCACGACAGCCTGCAGACGGCCAATGATCTCGCTAATGAACAAGCCCTTGACAGCCTGGATGTACTTGACGACTTCTGGGTTGTTGCGCCAGTAGTAGTTCCACTCCCAATCACCAGCACGGAAGACCTGCTCGGCCATCTCCATGGTGGCACAGTCCGAGGAATCAGAGACATTGCAAGGCAGTCTGTAACCGTTGCAAAGACGACCCTGGAAGTTATCGGCAAAGTGGTCGAAGGTACCCTGCCACGCGTTATCGGTCGCGCCAAACATAGCACCAAGCTTGGAGCGCAGTTCCTCAGTGACAGCCAGATGCTCGTTCCAGTGCTCGGTAGTCTTGATGCTCGACAGAGTAGCACCGACAGCAGGGCAAGAGTATCCACTGTTGACAGTGTTGACGGACGAAACCATCTGGTGCAGGGGAAGAGCTCCCTTGTACTTGGGCCACATGCCACGCAGGACCACACCGGCTGAGGCCTGGGTGAGGGCTGAATCACTGGAGCGGAACCAGACGCGCTTGCTAGGCTTCTTAGGGATCAAGCCGAGCTTCTTTCCATAGACGCTCCACAGGTCCTTGCCGTGTTGATATCCGTCCTGGATCCCTCCAATGGTCATCTGGGGGTACTGGCAGGTACCGCTCACACCAGGCGAGAAGGGGTTGGTGGGGTCCTCGTATGTCTGCTGATACATCTCAATGGGCTGGACACCACTATTGCTGTTGGCGCCGGCGTAGAGATACGGGCGCACATTCTCACAGCGATATTCTTGGTCCTGAGGAAAGGAGTTAGTTTGGACCGAGAATCGATCCGAGAGTTGCTTACCTCTCCACCGGGGAAAATGTTGTAGGGAGTTCGTCGCTGGTGACGCTGGAGATACTCCAGATACACGATCTTTCCCTTAGTGGATCCCTTGGTCAGAGCTTCGGGTAGCTCGTATTCCTTCGAACGAGGGTGCGGCATAGCACAGTAGTGATAGGCGCCGTAGGGGGTGCCGCTGGTCGGGCCCTTGGTTGGAGCTTCATAGGTAGCGCCATAGGTGCCAATCGAGCTGTCGGTGATGTATGATGTATCATTCACCGATGGGGGGTAAAAGGTGTCCGCAGGGACGGATTTACCCAGCACAGAGGCTGCCACAGAAAGGAAGATGATGCTGCGCATGACTGAGATTGGCTTGAGTGATGAGTACCAGGTCTGTCGGATACCCTCGAAGATATAGATTTCTGAACTGATTATTGCCAATAATCCCAAGACAATAAACAAAATGAAGCTCCACCGTAGTCGTACCAGTTGCAACCTTACAACCGGCGCACGTGGCGTCTTCGAGCCAACCCGGGGAGTTCTAGTAGCCATGTGCTTTTCTACACATTATCTCCAACTTTGGACTGAGCAATACTTCTTCCATGAGGCCATCGGCAGGTGCATTCTCCGGAATTTCCGGTAGCTGCGTGAGATTGCGTGGGGTCTTGGCATCGACACCATCGTCACCTTGCAGAATATTAGCTGCAGGGACCATTTAAGCAAGTACTATAATGCGACTTCTACGAAGTATATATTCAATGAAATTCCCAGCCTTGATCTGGGAATTCGATCATCTGTGAATTGAACTGAACTCTCAATATTTTCACAATGATGTGGAAATCTTCAGTTGTCATGGCCATGGCCATGGCCCTTCCCCTGGCATCTGCCGCCTTGGCGGATCTCGCACTTCAATCAGTACTCGACACTGCCGCCCCAATCTTTGGACCGTACAAGAAAATTACGGAGGGGAAAGCGGAATGGATGAAGCGATACCCCGATAAAACCCTGCTCGTTCATATGAACATCCCCGGCACCCATGACAGCGCCACATGGAATTATACCCAGGAGACCCAAGATGCCATGCGCGGCATCACTGATCTCAACCAGGTGGTTGTTCCGACCCCAGAAGCATTGCGGTGCCAAGAGTCATCCTTCATTGACATGCTCAACATGGGAATTCGGGCATTTGATCTGCGATATGCTTTCGACCCGACAAACTCGACCCTTATTTACTACCATGGACAGGCTCTGCTCTCCCAGACAGCTACAGTCAAGGATGTGATGTTCGGATTTTACAAGTGGCTGGATGACCACCCTTCGGAGACCCTTTTCCTGTCATTCCAGTACCAAGGCTCAACCGCCCTGTACGCCTCCAATAATGCCGCTGTGCAAATGCAACTCCACAGCATTCTTACCTCGCGCGCCGCGCGCCGTTATTTCATGCAAAATAAAGACGAATTGGGTACCCTGGGTGCTGCACGTGGCAAGATCACTCTCATGCGGCGTTTCGACCTCGACAAGCTGCCGGAGTCTTACACAGCCTCTCTTCCCGGCCTGAACTTCTCACCCAGCCTCTGGAACGATAATGGCGCAGAGATTGTTCTGGAATACAACAAGGACAAGGGATTCAAGGCCTACATCGAAGACTACTATGAGCCGCTCACGGAGCACGGATCCAGTGCACGGGAGAATATCCGGTGGAAGTACAATGCCACAGTGAAAAATATCCGCAAAGCTACTTCCAAGAAATACCGGAACAGTCTCTTCTGGACCTGGGCATCTGCTAACAAGATCTCAAATGACCCTCCCGATTACCCTCGGATTATGGCACTTGGAAACGGCACTCGGTACACACCGTTCGGTGGAGTTAACAACCAGCTAGTGCCTTTCCTGAAAAGACAGAAGGGCAAGCGGGTCGGAATCGTGATGTTTGATTACTACGACATGCCTTCCAACCTGGTTGATACACTTTTGGATCTGTGAGGTACAGAAATTAGAGAGATGTTGGCAGGAGAATAGTAGATACTGGTGGGATGATAGTGTATTTTGATAGGAGAATAGTATATGTTGGCAGGAGAATACATATTCAATTATCAAGTCTTGGAATCAATACATACTTCCGCACTATTTCCAACCAAAATTGGCCTTCCAGTTTATTCACAGGGCAGTCATATGTATAGAAATGCCACTCATAAGCATAGTCCCATCGCCAAGACTCAACCTCTTCGAGCACTTTAAGCCCACGTGCTTTCTTCAGATCGATCGATATAACCCCCGAGACATGTTCGTAAAAGGACCCACTTTTACCTTATGCCTTCCAACCTTGGAACCTTGGACGGTACCTTCTCCCACGTGTATTTGTTATCTGTGGGGAAAATCTGTGGATACAGTTCACTCGGGGAATACCCCATTAGGCATATATATGGCAAATACGGAGTAATAATGGGCAGATGTTTCGGGTTGTTGCGGGTCTTGACTCAGCGTTTGCACAAAGGACCTTAGGCTCGGACCAGAAAAACCAGTGGGAGTTTTTATGTTCTACAGACCTTTTTATATCTTAGTGAAAGGGGACCCGGAAGAGGGAAAAAAAGGAGACAGCAGTAACGTTGTAAGTAGCTTTGTTGGCAGCACACAAATAGTGCCTGTCGCCTGGGTTGGAAGAAGCCGGCTGGCCTATACGAGGGGACATCTTGGCATGTCGAAGGTGAGACATAATATCGTCATTAGTGGATTGTACAGATGTGCTGTAGGGGGCATGGTATTGAACTACTAGTAACTGGTATTCAATGTAGATATGACTCATGTCTGAGAGAAGGTTCAATATGGAAAAGGAAGTATGATAAAGATGAAGGCGACATGGGGAAAAGAGAAGTTAGAAACTCTCAATCTTAAACTGCCGTAGACATAATAATTCTATATAAGGTCGGTAGAAGCGAGAGTATACCTTAGGAATTTCGAGAATGCTGATCGACGATCAGATAAGATTATCTCGGTCGTCTATCTTTGCCCTTCTAGATCAATATTATATTCGGACAACAATCTTGCGAGTGCACTGGGAAAATGAGAAAATTACGATGATTAGTTTACATATGGAAGATGGTTTGGCTTTATCCACCATAGCTAACGCTGTAAAACAAAATGAATGAAAGACGCAACACCTTGCACAGTGCCATAGAATGCAGACTCACTACATAGTCGAGTCAGATTGCAATGCCAATTAAATCAGACACAATTTCCTTGTCCTCAGCTGACGTCAAGTTCTCCACCAGGCTTGCCCAGCTTGGCGTATTCATATTGCGACCAGAGAGAAAACCTATTTTCCAAGTTTCCCACTTGGGTGTATCCAAAGAGCACACGAGGCTAGCACAACGAGCGAATTCGTGTTTCTCAAGAAGGTCCTCCTGGTCAAGGCAGATACATCTCCATGCATCATCCACCTTATGCACATACTCCGAGACGTCATAACATTGGCTGTATTTGATATTCTGCAACTCAAGCCACCCAGATCGCACCAAGCTCCAATCAGCAGGCTTGCAGTGTTTTTCTAGCTTCTCCCATATCTTCTGTGCATTTTGAATGTTGCGAACAATCGGCCTGGTAGTGGCAGACAGGTGTGTTTTAATGATTTTCTCCGCTGCCTCGTTCAGGCTGTCTAATTGGCTTCCCAAGTAATGCGATTGGGGAAGTTGACCGATCTTGCCCTCAACCAAATCTAAAAGCTGATTACGGCTTAGAATAAGCCTCATTTTGTGGCGCCAGACGCGATAGTTGGATCGGCCGCGCAATGGTGGACAGTTGCATTCTATTGGCAAATTATCATCTCCGAATGCACTTCTCAAGTTGGAGGCATGTTCGATCGAGGCTTCTGTTTCGGCAGTCGTTTGGGGTATCAGGTCTTTGGAGCCTTCAGGCGCGACAGTTGTCGCGATGGGCATTTTATCAACGGAGTTTACCCGGCGCCTTTTTGGCGGCGAGCTTAACGGTTCATCTTCTGGGGGTCCTTCCCCAGAGAGGGTTCGTTTCACTAATGGCGTTGGAGAGGCCATTCTGTTGATTCTTGACGTGTCGGTGGATTAAAAAAAACGATCAGGGTAAGGTAATGGGAATCGACGAAGGATGTGGTAAATTATCAGAGAAGCATTAACCTTGATTTATGACGTCGTTAACAGGTTATGACGAACGGGGATTTATCTATGTCTTACAAGGGGTGCAGCATTGTTTATATATGCTTAACCCCAGGATAGAAGTATGCTACCTACTTCTATGACATTATCAAGAAAGGGGGTTCTCAAACATGCAGCCCTACATTCCTTGGCAAACTCCAACGGCTAAACACACTTTCCTCTGTCCACATTTTATCGCTGAGTTCAAGAATATTTTGACTGTTTCTTCCTTTATAGCTTATACTATTTTTGATCTTGGAAAACTGTGCATCTGATATGTCGAGGCCAAGTTTGCCAATCTTCCGTTGTCTGGATATAATTGTAGACTCATGTCTTGTGCGCCATTCGTCAAACGTTCTCATTGTAAGGTAATATCTTGAGTATTTATATGGTGATATAGGACACAAAAGACGATCAGTTTCCTAGGGGTACCAAAGGCTAGAAAACCCCACTCCCTCACATACATTCCGCGCAACTGAGAAATTCGAACATCTATAATTGGCTATATTGTCTCTGTTGAAAATACCTCAAAACTATCTCAGTGTGCTCTGAACCGCTTCGACTGAGCTACAAAATAACCCGTCGCCGACAACAAACTCATAGCGCCAACAAGCAAAGAAAAATTGCTTATCAAGATTTCCTCCTGAACCTGCTTCACTATTGTAGCAGCCTTGCTCACCACACGGTCTTTACCGGTTCCCTCGGCAATATAGTCCTCCCACTGCACCTTCGAGAGTTCACGTTGATAATCAACCACAGTCCCACTCCAATTATTGGTAATGACCCCGTCATCTCTCTTATACCAACTGTTGCAATTTGGATCCGCAAAGCTGGTAGCACGTAGAATGGCCTGGATTCTATCGTTGTAGCTTTTCAGCGCACCCGGTTCTGGCTTGAGAGCCAGCGTCCTTCCTTGTTGACGGGCTTGCATCACTTCCCTAACTAGGGTGTTCAGATATCGCGACTGTGCTTCAATCATGAGAATGATGGAGTTGTGACCTTTTGATTAGTTAGAATGATTGAGTCCATGATTTCATTTGGAAATATGGCATATCTCACCGAGGTTAGTGTTGGGACCATAGAGCATTCCAAAGTTGGGCAAGTCCTCGACGGTAACACCGTTAAAGGCCGTTGCTCCATTTTTCCAGATATCCTCCAACGACCGGCCATTTGAGCCATAAATTCGGATGGGATGCATGAACTCCACAGTTCTGAAGCCAGTAGCAAGGACGATAAGATCGTATTCTTGTTCATCTACCTCATCGACCTCGATACCGGACTCCGTAATAGATGTGATGCCCCGTGTCTCCAAGTGTACGTTTTCACGGGCAAGAGCGGGATAATAATCATCTGTAATAATGACTCGTTTGCATCCCGGAGCATAACTGGGCGTTAGCGAGTCCCATAGCTCTGGTCGGTTAGGCAGTTGAGATTTCATCGTCTCGGTACATGAGGTCCGAATGTATTGCGAAAGATCCGAATCTTTATCTGCGACAGCTGTATAGAAAGCTTCGCGAAATTCCATTTGAAGCGCACGCTTACGCCATTTCAGGGGTGGAACCCATCGGAGAAAGGCCTTTTGAAGGGTAGATACCGTTTGATCTAGGCGAGGAATGACCCAGTTTGGCGTCCGCTGATAGATAGTGAGATGGGAAGCAACGCGAGCAACTTCAGGGGCAATCTGAGCGGCAGTTGCTCCTGTATAATGAGTCAGTATTGTATCCTGTAGGTGGGTTCTTGTTTCTTTTTAGTGGAGTGCGCACCATTCCCAATGATTGCGATCCGCTTTCCAGTCATATCGTAGCTCCAATCCCACCGAGCAGAGTGCATTATCTTCCCTTGGAAATCTCCCAGGCCTGGGATGTCAGGGGTTCGGGGTAGATTGAGTTGCCCAACAGCAGAGACAAGGAAATCGGAGTTCAAAACGTAGGAGTTCGAGAATTCGCTGTCTTTCTGCCCTGATACCACGACGCTTGTTTTCCACTTAGACTCGATTTCATCCCAACGGGCCTCTTCCACCGTGGAATTGAATCGAATGTGCTTGTAGAGTCCATATTTCTCTGCAACACCAACGAGATACGCCTTGTTGATGCACAATAATCAGCAATGGCTCGTATATCACAAGACAGGTCGAGGGTCACATATTACTAACATGTATTTCTTCTTGTCCGGGATACTCTCTTGACCAATCGGGATTCTGTTCAAAGGAATAGCTATAGAGCGAGCTCCAGACTAGTCTTCATTAGTTGCTGTCACTGTGTATGTAGAGTCTTTCTTACCGTCACAACAGCAGCCGGGATACTTGTTGTCATTCCAGGTTCCGCCCACGCTGCTACTTCTCTCCAGAATAACAAAATTGTGAGTTTTGTTCCGTTTGACCAAATCAATTGCCATGCACATTCCTTGAGGAAAGGTTAGTAAAATTTATTTGCCTTGGAGGAATTAACGTACCCGATATGCCGGCGCCAATAATGACAACAGTGGCATTGGTAAAGTCCTTGTTTCCCACAGGGAGGCGTGTGTTACTCGATCCCAACATTCTGAAAGGGGTTGACTATGCAATATTGGGTTGACAATCAAATCATGGGAGGTAGCCTAGAATATAACCAAAGCCTCCCCCGCAGTATTAAACAACATAACAGAACATTCAATCACTGGGGTTACCGAGGCCTATCACCCTTGAACCCTGTAGATGTCTATGCAGCTTAGGTCACAGGGCATGCATGCGGGCGAGCAGCATGCAAGTTCTCGGCGCTAGTCACCGCCCTGATATTTTAAGAGCAATCAGAGAGCATGAAAGACTTGATCTGTCCACTAAAAGCTGGAATAAACCTAGGAAATTCATACAAGTTTGAAAGTTTAGTAGTGCAATGCGGGGAAGCTGGGCGGCCGAGGCTGGATTGCCGAGGTAGGCAGTATTCCGGCGATGGTTCGTCCGAGTCTTGCAAGCTACTTAATCCTCTGGCACTAGATACTCTAGAATAATCAAGGGAGTTCAATTCCTTCTCTCTCTGCTGTCTGTAGGATGTATTGTTTGACCTAGACAAACACGAAGAATCAGCCATTTTGATCTAAGTGAATACCTAATGAGGGGGTTACCTTGTCATCTGGGACTAGCTCAATGGCCAGTCTACCATCACTGTCTCTCTTTTCTGCTTCTGCTCCAGACTTCAACAAAAAGATTGCGGCGGGTCCATGCCCCTCAGAGATAGCGTGGTGAAGTGCTGTGAATCCGTCTCCATCCGTTGCGTTGACAGGGCTCTTACCCTCTTCCAAGAGGGTCTTCAAGATAGGCACAGATCCAACTGCAGCTGCTCTGTGTAGGGGTAGTTGACCACGCTTATCCTTGACTCTGGCGCTGCATTTATTGGCAAGCAAGGTGCGGACGGTGGAAATATTGGCCTTGGAACTTGCGAAGTGCAGCGCATTCTACTAAATAGTAAGTCCATGTACATCCAATAGACAAATCGTTGTCTTAGAAAGCTGACCTGTCCAGTGTTGCTTTTGGCAGAGACGTCAGCTCCTTTCCGCAGTAATAGGTCGATCGTTGCGTCGCCTGCGGCATCTTTAAGGCTAGCTGCAATCATGAGAGGCGTCCAACCAGATCCATCCTATGCTGATTTAGCAAGATTCTATAATAATGGCCACTCGATGTTGAAAAGGCTCAGGTAATTCTTTTCGAAAGTAGAATGGTGGTACTCACTTCTACATCTGGGTCGAAATTCTTCATAGCGACTAGCAATTCCACGACCGGGAGTCGGTTGTAGGCCACAGCCCAGTGAATTGGAAGACGATCATCATCATCTTTCACAAATGCAGATTTCGGGTTTACCTGTATCAATGATTAGCCTTGTTCTTGAAAACCGAATAGTACCAGCGCCAGCTGGATCTTGCGGGGCAGCCTCGGCCCTATGTGGAGCACAACTCACATTGAGCAACGACTCAACAACCTCGTCTAAGGAGATATATTAGTAAATTGTACTATACAAAGAAGGGGCAAGCTCACTTCTTCCTTCACGGGCAGCCTCGTGCAGGGCGAACTTCTGATCGGAATCCATGGTGACTTTGGAGGAGGAAGAGTGATATTGCGATAAGAGCTGCGATAAGCCCCGGGGCTGGGTGACTGGCTGAGTCATCACAATTGCTGACCTCACGGTGAACGGGAGCCCCGGGGGCCCGGAGGGGTCAACTTGCTTCCCCATGTACTCCGTACGTACGGAGTACTAATACACTACGTTTGAATGTTGAGAAATTGTGTACGGAGTACCAGATGTACCTTTTGTGGGGCTTTCGTGCACAAAAGGGACAATCATATGTATTGTAGTGAGCATGGGTACAGGTGTTATTATGAGCATTATTATTTGAATATCTCACTATTTAGCGTACGCATCTACACAAAGGAGGATCCTTTTTGCGTTCATCTCATAGAAAAACTCCCTTTTACACTATTCCAAGGTTGTCTATGTATGTAAATGACTTTTATCATACGGTATATATATCGCAAGATATCAGAATAGGTCAATTGAAAATGGACAAATGGTAGACATTCATATATCTTCTGAGAGATACATATTTACAATGTATGTAAGTAACTGGTCATCTGAATATTCCTAGGGGGGAAACGGGAAATTGATCAACAGAAGTGAATGCCAATGCTCGTTATATGCCTCACGGACACAAAGAGAGGTCCGATTAAGTCAAAGCAAGCAAGACTCACTGTCTTGCTGCCTGAGTGTATGTGGTTTTTGCTTGGACATGGTCGGTCAAGAACGAGATGTCTTTGAAGGTACTAGAGGCATCATGCGGAAGTCCTACAACATCATATATACTACGGCCCACCGCCATTTAACCTCACCGCCCTTTTTGCCGGAAATAATGTTGGTCAATTTTGGTGCCTCAGGCACGAACACCCGTTGCAACTTCGATCCAAAGATTCATGAACATCCTGTTATACCACGTTCAACTATATCTTGCCTCACAGCTGCTAGACACGCAGCTCCAGTCTTCAATTAACTGTGCTTCTAAAACTGGTACCTAGGCTGAACCTCCGGATTCGATTGCAGTCGCGACCCGGCCGCAGGCTTTTTTTCATCGCGCGCACCATCGGACCGTGATTCTTTGGAGCTCTTGTCCTTCAAAGCACACCGATTTATCTCACTCTCCCCATAACACCTCCACGCACACACACAATGGAATACACCCCCCAGCCCGTCGATGATGCCGTGCGCATTTCCGCAAAGCGGACTGCTGAACTCTTTGGTACCGAATACCTGATGGTCACACCTTCAACTCTTACAGATGGCTCAATCGGCGTTTCCTACCGACGGAAGGCGGAATACGAGGATATTATCGAGCTACCACGAGCTCTCGCAGAGAAACAGGCAAAGGCTACAGCAGGCCGGACAAAACGGCCGAAGATTCAGGCGCAGAAACCCGCAGATGGCAGTGGCGCATCCATGTCACTTGTGAGGCGACCATCGGGCACTGGAGCTGGAGCTGCCGCTGCTGAGGGCCAACCTACAAGTTTGATCCAGAGACCATCGGCCACCAAGCAGCAGCGGCCCGAGTGGCACGCGCCTTGGAAGCTGATGCGCGTCATTTCGGGACACCTGGGATGGGTGCGAGCTTTGGCAGTGGAACCGAATAACCAGTGGTTTGCTAGTGGAGCAGGAGATCGGACAATCAAGATTTGGAATCTAGCGACGGGCGCATTGCGACTCACTCTCACCGGTCACATCTCTACCGTCCGTGGCTTAGCAGTCTCACCCCGGCATCCGTACCTTTTCTCGTGCGGTGAGGATAAGATGGTCAAGTGCTGGGATCTTGAAACCAACAAGGTCATTCGACACTACCACGGTCATCTCAGCGGTGTGTACACACTGGCCCTTCACCCTCGCCTTGATCTGTTAGTCACGGGTGGTCGTGACGGCGTGTGTCGAGTCTGGGATATGCGGACGCGAAGCAACGTACACGTTCTCGGTGGACACAAAGGCACTGTCGCCGACATCAAGTGCCAAGAAGCCGACCCTCAGATTATCTCCGGTTCGCTGGACTCCACAGTCCGGTTGTGGGATTTGGCCGCTGGAAAGAGCATGGGCGTTCTGACACACCACAAGAAGGGTGTCCGTAACATCGCCATCCACCCCTCGGAGTTTACATTTGCCAGCGCCAGTACCGGCAGCATCAAACAGTGGATGTGCCCCAAGGGTGATTTCATGCAGAACTTCGACGGTCAGAACTCTGTCATCAACTCTCTCGCTGTCAATGACGAGAATGTTCTTTTCTCCGGCGGTGATAATGGTTCCATGTCCTTCTGGGATTGGAAGACTGGCCACCGCTTCCAATCTATGGAGACTACCGCACAGCCTGGCTCTCTTGAAGCCGAAGCTGGTATCATGGCTTCTACCTTTGATCGCACTGGTTTGCGTCTTATTACGGGCGAAGCTGATAAGACTATCAAGGTCTGGAAGCAGGACGAAGAGGCTACCCCTGAGACTCACCCTCTGACTTGGGCCCCGACTCTCGGCAGACAGCGGTACTAGAGGGATGACCAGCATCACTGGCATTTGTACCCTCTGTTCCGATTTCTCAATACCCTGTATTCATTTAATTTCCTGCCATCAAGTTCTGATGTGGAGTTAAGCGTGGTCTGGCCCTTGATTTAAAATATTCAAACATGTATCGGGAAATATTTCCTCGAAAGTTGAAAGGTTCATTGCATGTCTCTGAAAAAAGAGTCTTAAGAGTCTTAACGTTTTGTATGATACAAACCCCAATTGAGCCAAATGATACCCTTGGCAATCGACCCAGATGGACAGAAAGTACAGAAAAGTAGGCTCTACGATCTAAAGTGCAAGACACAATTTGACTGAAAGGGTATCATATGCAAACTATTATGCGATAATACACTACATGTAACTCCAGATAATGCGTATCGTATCGAAACACCAAAAGAAAACCCGTCACTGTCACTGCTCAATACCTAAACCAAAGCCTTTAGCCTCAGCGTCCTCCCTGAAAGCTGATCTGACATCTTCCACCGCAACCCTAAGCCGAACTTTACTACTGCGGTCGCCGCGAGTGGGAATCGTAGTACCGCCAAGCACGCTTTTAGAGCCGGAGCCTTGCTCCAGCGCCAGGATACCCGAGTTCATGAGCGACATGGCCGCATGGCCCAGGCTCCGCACGCGAGCACTGGGGCCTCCGCCCAACAAGAAATCTTTCACGCCGGCGCCAGCGGCTCCAGCAACAGCAACAGCTGCATCAGCGATGCGCCGAGCTTCATCGAGGACATCGCCGAATGTTGATTCTGAAATGCCTGTCCGGTGGACGCGGGCTAGTAGGGCGGCAAGGAATAGCTTTCCTGAGAGTGGGAGACAGCGCAGGGATTGTTGGAGTGGGGTTGATGTAGCTTCGTGAATGGCTTGCTTGATAGTGGCGATAGTAACGCGCCCTGGCTGTCCCTTCGCAGGAGGTTTAGTGACGGCTGATTCCCCGGTTGCTTTGGCTGCAGCCTTGTTACGCCGGGCGGGGGTTTTGCTGGGCGTAGGAGGCAATGATTCTGTCTCGTCTTTGGCCTCATCTGCGGCAGCAGCCTCATCGGCTGCTTGCTCGGCAATTTCAACTGCTCGACGACAGATGTCCAAAGCTCGTCGAGCATCACCGCTGACAGCGGCTACTTTGCGACTTGCGAATTGGATGGCGTCTGGATCAACGATATTGCCAGGTACACTGGCAAGACGGGTACTGATGATTTCCATTAGATCTGTGTGACGGTAGCCCGGGAATGTGATACGGGTTAAACCGAGACGACTGGAGATCTTGTTGCTCAGAGTTCTTTCGGGGAGATCCATGGTGTTTGCGACTGCCAGAACAATGAGGCGCGAGTGGCGGAGAGCAGGCCAGTTGAAGAAGTTATACATGACAGACTGATTCTTCGTCACGAGCTGATCCAATTCATCCATGAGCACAACACAAGAAACCCGACGAGGGGACGGATTTGAGAATTCTCTTTCGAGAAGATCCAATGCGTGGGAAGGTGATACTCGGTCGCCCTTCAAGGCTTCCCATAGTAAGGAGTAGGATTGATGCGGGTCAGTGACTTTCATGCCGTTAATTTCGACAAAAATGAAATCATCCATCTCTTCTTCATGCACAGCACCGTTCAGCTGTGCAACCACCTCACGGACTGTGGCCGTCTTGCCAGTACCCGGAGTACCGGAGATATAGATACAAGCGCCAGTACCCTCCATGATTGCAGCGCTGAGATGGTTGTATACAGTGTTGAACTCGGTTTTCCGGCATGGTAATGAGTCTGGAACAGTGGAGACGTGTAGCAAATTCCGGGCTTGACGATAGGGAGAGTCAAAATGCGTGGGCGAGAGGACACGCGTACCCAGAGGAGTAAACTCAAGTGGCTTTTTCACAACAATCCTGTAATTGTTAGTCTCACTTCATGATAATCATTTCAGCTGTTTCCTACCGTTTATGGGTCGGAGTCATCAGGGCCTTCTTGCGCTGTGATTGTGGCGTGGCATTTGTAGCCGCTAGTCGCTGCCTCTTTCTCGGGGTCGAAGGTGCTATGGTCTCTTTGGTATTGAAATACTGCAGTGGCCCAAATCAGCACTGCTTTTGTAATTGAAATATGCGGTTCAACTCACTTCATCATCCGCAGCTCTGCGTTTTCTGGAAGTCTTCAAGCCATCCCTGACCCAACTGATCAGATCTTGGATGTTGTCTTCATTGTACACTTGCTCCCAGACAAACTCATCGGTATACCGTCCTTGAACCTGGTTCACGCCTCGTCGACAAACAATGCACTTGTTGTATTCCGCCAATTCGGCCTTGTTCTTTGGAGGGCCATTAGGGTATCTGGCACTGAAGACGCTTTGAGACATGACCGCTCCTTTGCCACTGATTGATGTCAAGGGGTTGCTGTTGAAATCGAGTGTGATGTACTGCTCGTTGGGCAAGGCGTCGGTCCGGCGCTTGTTCCTCGTGCCCATGAATTCGTCGGGGGATGCGAACCACATAATATTGGCTGATTTGACAATCTCGTCCCCTTCATCCTCATCCTCCTCTTCCAAGAATTCTGTAATAATGCCAACCCAGTCCTTTCCAGCTTCGGGGGATTTCAAGAGAATCACATCGCCCACCTTGCATTGGAACTGACCCATCCGTGCGCCAATGATTTTGCGTTTTTGGCGGGCGGGACGAGACGACCGTCTTCGGCTGCGCTTCGCCGGGCTCTCATTATTGTCTTCAGTTTCCTGGGTAGTATCTTCATTTTTGTCGTAAATCCACTCCCACGGAAGGTCCTCAACACCTAGTTCATCGTCGGAATCGTCTCGGACCAGAGCGCCCTTGGTCATCCATTGGGCGCGCTCACGGGCGCTACGCCTCTGAGACGAAGATGCTGAATCACTGTCGCTCATTGAGGGTGTGAGAGATGTGACTTGACAGAATATTCAACGAGGAAGGAGAAATCGCGCTTGACGCGTTGTCCACTTTCGTCCCTTTTAGGCTTAGCCCGACAAGGAGGCCTGTGACCAATCAAATTCATCTACCTCATACATAGGTACAAGGCTGTAGTAAGACATGGAGTACACTGTAGGTATAAACTATATGTGTACAATATGTTTTCAACTGATCCTATACACATGAATCTACGTCAGCTCTTGGTTCAAAGACATCACGCAAATTTACAGTATAATTGTCAAACTATCAGCACCTTTCCATCTCAATATTGCCGTGATGCATGTTACAAGTTGAATCTGCTCATCCAATTCACGCCAACATGACCATCTGGTATGCTAAAATTCTAGTCTAGCAAGATAGACGACGCTTCAAGGTTGCAGAATTCATCCATATATGGTAACCCTGGGCCCGGATATACTGGATTAATAAAATTCTGGAACCCTAACATTTAAACGAAATCTAACAATAGTTAGATCTAGTATACACATACATAATGTGCTCCATATTTGATCTGTTTTAACTCAATTCCTCATATATGGGTTATATTACACTGATTTCAAACATGCAATGCAGTATGCCTCTTTCACCCGCCTATAGTTGAATATTTATTATAAAAACTGGGTGCATGATTATTGTAAGAAGATTGATTCCGGATATCTTGATACATGACTATCTTCTCACTGTACTGAGAATGCTAAATACATTCCTACTTTGAATGTGCTTTTGGAGTATACCTTCACCCTGTGAAGTAGTCTCTATTAACTACTTACATATGTATATATGTAATTAACTACTAACCATAGTTCTACCAGCAAGAATGAGTAGATTTATGGATTCTCTTACTCTTTGTTAACTCCCAGATTAAGAAGTAATATTTTTAGTCTCATTTCCTGCAGATAACTCTGCTCTCTTCCTTCCGGAGTCCTCTCCTTCCCGGCGCGGTTACCTTTCAACACCCGGGGCCTCATTGCTGGCTTAGTCTTTACTTTCCAACCTTGGGAAGGTTCCAAGGTTGCCCACCCATCTCATCTCCCCTGAGCCCCCAGCAGTTAATTTCTGCTTAGTTCCATCCACCTTCATCGGTACAGAGCGACTTGAATCTTCTATTTTCCTCACTTGCCCGTTTGATATCTCTGAAATAACCCGCGTCGCCGTTTTTGACCTGGCTCATTCTAAACGATACGTCCCGTGAGACATCATTCTGGTTAACGAACAGTTGTGGCCATCGGATTCCGTTAAAATGGTGTCTCTACCCCAGTCCTCTGAGGAGTAAGTATATATCGCACACTGATACTTGCAAGTACGTTCCGCTAATCAATGTCACTAGCTGGGAGCGTCTAAATGCTAAGTGTAAGAGATAACTCTTTTTTTGGATTATGGTTGTGCATACTGACTTAGCTAGCATGGGAACTGCCAAACTATGGCCCTGGTCCAGATTTTGGTCGGGGAACCATCTACCGCCAGGACTATGATGAGTACACGGAAAATAAACGTCCTGATTACGGTGATGAGGATGATCTCGAGGATGGTCGCCCTGCCGACAAATATCCACCACACCCCACAAGTTCAACGGTCCCTGTAACTAATCGGCCCATCTCAAGTGTACCTGTTGTACCCAAGCGATCACAGATTCCAAGTCAGAGTACCTTTCCAACCCAACATGTTATTCCTGGACCCAGTGCAGGTCGAGCACAGGCACCGGAGGGACCAATCTTCAATGAGCGTGGGCCTAATACCAGCAGTTCCAATACGTTCGCACGGCCGCATTATTCCGCTCGTGATCTCAAACCAGGTCAACGTACCCCTCTTGAAGGGGGACATACTGACACATCACGACCACAGTTTCAGGCAAAAAAATGGAGTGCTATTTCAAATACTTCGCAATACAGAGCTAAGAATCCACCTACCATGCCAGGGCAAAATGACTCTCATTCCAAGGCAAAGTGGCGCAAAGGCTTCTCTCCAGATGGTAAGTGTGCTCACCTTAACCTCAGGCCCATTATTAATGGTCGAATAGCTTCTTATCGTCTGCCTTACGAGTGTCAAGTGTTCCAAGAAAAGTGAGTATATAAACGGTCGCAGTCGATCGTCCTAGAACTAACGTAGAAATTGAAGGGTTAGACAAGTAACTACAGGAGAGGCTTCCACCCTCGACTTCCGCCAGAGGATTATCGAAGATACAGGTGCCTATGTGAGGATGAGCGCGGGAAACGCCAGAGTCAGTTGCCAGATAAAACCCCGACATCTGAGTCTTTCAATATACTAATTACCCTAAAGCTAGTTCACATCTGGGGCCGGCAAAAACAGGTTTTGGAGGCCCAGAATATGCTCCAAGATATGTTGAGTCAATTGATGCGGCGGCCGACTTTGCCTAGAGCGTCGGCGTCGCGTTGGACTAAGGTACACGCGCATTCAGTTACGAAGGTTGCCCATGCCCGGTCGCAGGAAAGCCTCGAGGAGAGATTGTCTGAGATGCGAAAGCCACCGAAAATTGCCACGGATTATACAGTATGAATAGCACTCTGCCAGTCCTAGTTTGTGTTCGATAGTTTATGGAGACTAATCCTTGATAATGCAGCTTGCTTTCCTCTGGCCGTCGGATGGCCCCTCGTTGAACTACTTTGTTACTGCCCTGCGCGCAGTCCTCGATTCCATTCGCTTGAGTTATGACGTGAACATCTACATCAGGCCTGGTATCCCGGACTACCTTTTCATGTCTGGAAACCATGAGCGGGATATGTGCATCATTGCATCTCGATTCCGAGAGCTGTGGGAGAGGCTAATGGTCCAATACGAGATGGAAATCAAGCTGTTCCTTGTGGCAGCACCTCCGGTGGAGCTTATGAGAACCCACGTTATTCTGCAAAAGTCTGATGGGTTGTTAAGACCTGCTCTCTGTGGACCGGAACTGGCTCCAGAAGTAGCAGCCACCTGGCAGACCACTGCGGAGGAGGTCAAGCTGAACAACAAAAGCATCGTCACCACCCGCCTTAGGAAAGCACTACATGTGATTCCTCAATTTCGGGGATTCCTGCAAATGCGAGCGAAATTCGGTTTGTTCACGCTGCAACAGTGGCGCAAGCCGAAAGATGGCGCTTCTTATGAGTTCTCAGAGTTTCGCGAGATGCTTGCCCATATGAACACCGAAGGACGTTTGCTCCCGGGGTATGTTGTCACCCCCCACTGGAATCTGATAGTTTGCTGACTGACTCTTTCAGAATCCGGCTGCAGCAAGATGAGATCTTCAAGCGTATCATGGAATCAAAATTCCTTAAACCCTGGGGCAAAGCCAATATCAAATCTCTCCCGAGCCTGATGCCTAGATATTCCGCCAACTTTGAGTACCAAGTGAACGACGATTCCATAATTCGCGTGGAAGCAAAATTCTCTCTTCTCCTTGGCTCGCAGGAGTTTGAAGTCAACGGAATCCGTTGTTACAAACCACAGCAGACTAGTGCTCCTGTTGATCGTCAAATGCCAATGCAGATCAGTATGATTGATTTTGAAAGGTGTGTTCGCCCTAGATCCATTCAAAATTTGACCTGAAGCTGAGTTTAAATATAGGTCCGACTGGCAACTTGAGGTGAAAGCTCTTGAGCTCTGCCCTGAAAAGGAGATTCCCCCCGAGCTAGACAAATTCTTGCGTTCTATTGGTTTCCAATGGAACCCAAATGTAAAGAGCATTGCATCTGCCCCCAAGCGCAAGGCGAGGTTCTCATATGGCTCGCCAGTCAAGCGCTTCGTCGAAAAGGCCGCTATTCAGCTTCAAGTCAAAGACTCGCCGCATGTATTTGAACTCGCCCGTTTCGACGAGTACAAGTATGGGGCTGGTCACTGGTCGATGACCCCGAAAGTGTCCTGGGGTGCATCTCTGTTCAATCCTAGTTGGGATGATATACTAGGTGAACAGGTTGAGGCCAAGGCTCATGACATTTCCAAAGACGGGTGCCTGTCGGTATTCTTTCCCTTCCCTGGGGATGATCAGGAACATACAGACAAGGACAAGCAGAAAATGGACGATGAGGTCCTTAAGGAGGCTGAAATCCGTAAGATGAACGAGGAAGAGCAGCTGAGTCTTTTCATGGGCACTGTCCAGAGGATCGCGCGGATGCTGTCAAATCCGGGCGCTGAGATCTCAGATGTCCTTGAGACCGATCTTGGAAGTCTGTTCTAGTTGATGTCAGCAAAATCATCCCAAAGTTGTCACATTTCATGGGACCACAAGGGTTAATTCAAAGAAAGTAAAAAAAAAACAGATCTGTGAAGGAAAATGACTGAAAAAAAAGCACAAACAAACAGACATCATTACCGTCTGGCTTGCTTATCAAGCCGAGATCATTAGGTATGTATGTAGCAATACTAAGTCCAATTCATATTTGAAGTTATTCCTGGTTTCCAATATCGGAGAACCCCTTCCCCCCAGATTCATGGTCCTTTCTTCTTCTTATTTCCCTTATGCTTTGTGTCAAGTCTGGTCGTTCCAAAATTGTCAGATAGAACGCTTGTATATGATTTCGATTTCTCTATAGTAAGTCATGTCGGCCTATTCGTACCACCTGGGTCGAGTTTAGCCAGCAGGGGCCTGAGAAGCACCCTCGGCGAGCATCTTCTGTCTCAATGCTGTAGGAGAGAGATTAGCAAACGAAAAAAAAGCATCTCGTAAGGCAATATGAACCCGTCTCCTATTATCCGGGGAAGGGGCAACTCACTCTCTTCCACAATGCGAAGTTGCGAACTCTTGGTCTGTACAATTTTCTCCAACTCCTGCAAGTTTGCCTCCAAGCCCTTGACCTTTTCATCATAGAATGCAACCGCCTTAGGCGCAGTCTAGGAAAAGAAACCAATCGTCAACCCCAATCACCAACATCCTTGGACATAGCCCTGCCAGCACATACCTTCTCAACATAAAATCCAGTTCCAACATCAACAAGCACCTTCTCGCGATCCGTCAACCGGCCCTTGACGTACAGCGAACTGGTGAGGGGTACGAGAATCTCATTTCGGCCATCAGTTCCCTTCTTCTCGTTTCCAGTCACGCCGTCATTGATCGAGCGCACACAGTCGCGGAACTTCGCTTGGGCGGCGCGCAGCTTCGTGTGCGACGTGGTCAGGTGCTCGAGTTCGGAGGTGAGACGGGTTTGGAGTGCGCGGAGCTGAGGGACGGAGAGAGAGGCGAGATTAACTGGTTCCAAGTGGTTAGCTGGGATTTATCGCAATATGACACAGGGAGCCGACAGCCCGCGCTGCAGTGTCATCGTGTTGGGGGAATCTGGGACACACCTGAGCCTTGGGGAGCTCCGTCTGAGGATGGGGCGTTTTGCGACATTATGAGATTCGGGAGGAAGGATAGTGTATTTGGATCGATTTCCAGATAGGGATTTTGTTTTATTGTAGATCACGTCCTCGCATTGGGACTGTGTAGGAACTGTATAGGTGGTGGGGGGAGCTTCAGAAAACTGCTGGGTCTTATGCGTGGTGATAGTGGAGTTAAGTGCTGGTGGGCAGCATAGTGGCGGGTTGTGTTTATACACACGCACCTTACTGCACATACTGTCTCGACTTATATCGACCAATCTTTGACAACAACAATCAAAGACTTATGCTTATAACTCCATAGTGTGTTTAATGCCTCTAAATTTGTTGAAAAGAAGCTATGTATATTATCTGTGCACAATCAGCTAATGTCTTCACAAATACATTCATGTATGTAGTTTATTTGCGGGGAAATAGATCACTCCGAATTCCGACTTCTCCGAGGTCTCCGTAATTCATCTTTACCACCCATGAACATATTTATATATCAATGGCTTCGAGACTGGCAGCATGTGAAGCTTGCAGGAAAGCAAAAGTCGCCTGTGATCATAAGCGACCAGCATGTACTAGGTGTGCAAGTAACGATAGAGCTGGAATCTGCATCTACCGAACGACGCCGTTTAAGCGAAGAAGAGTGGACAGCTCTACATCTTTGCAGTCTCCTAGGTATGTGAATCATATAATTATATTCTTATTTCAGATACTTATGAGCTTTGAAGTCGGCCACCCCCAGCCCAACCATCCTTCACTCCAAGGAATAATCCCTATCCAAACCCTGGCTTTCTGGGATCCTCCAGCCATGTCGCTATTTTCAACGAAATTTCCCCACAAGACTATCATGCATCCGATACTTACCATTTTTCTGAGGACATGACGATGTTGATGCAATCGCAGTCCACCGGGGAGAATATCTTGTTAATCCAAGGCGCGGATATCCTCAGACAACTCTTAAACACATTTCCTCTGGCCGCCATGAAGGATTTTGTTACTTTCTGGCTGGCAACCGGTGCAAATCTAGCTCTGGCAGAGCCTTTTACTGAGAAGTGTGCTGAAAATATGACGCGCTTATTCACGTCTTTCTCACAAGAAGACAACTGGCATTTGGCATATGCCCAACGCCTGACACAAAATTCGCGGGAACCTTTGCGATTTAGCAGTACATCCAATATGGAAACATTTTCTGCCCAGTTCCTCGACCAGAAGTTCCGATGGGAAAGTCTGGGTATCTTTCTTTCTGCTGTTAGTCGAGCAACGATCGATATATCATTTTTCCCGCCATTGTTTAAAACCGAAAAAGATCAGTTCGTGCTTCGGAAGCTATCTACAAAGCTCACTGATCTTGCGTTAGATATTGCGCTCTCGTTGGATTGTTTAAATGACCTTCAACTGGTTCTACAGTATGAGAACTTTATTGTACACACCCATGTTGACGGGGACCAAAGTAAGAGCTTCCTTGACTTTGTCTATTAAAATCCCCAACTCATCGAGAATTCAGGTTATCATTCATGGAGCAGACTTGGAAATGTTGTGTCGTCCATTTTTGCACTTGGCTACCATGAGAATGTCGAAAAGACCAAGCCACCAATTCCGAATTTTCTTGCGGAGTTGCGAAAGACAGCTTGGGCCACCACATACTCAGCGGACAAGAATGTAGCTATATTCCTTGGTCGGCCACCTCGGATGAGCAAGCGATTTTGTCACTTTCAAGTACCTTTAACACCGACAAGCTCGGATCAGGTTTGGAACACTTCACACGTTGAAGACGAGGTCGTCAGATGGAAAGCAGATACACCAATCTGTTATGGGTCAAGTATTCGGTGGGCGACCCTTTGCTCTGCACTGAAAGAAGATATCCTTGAATTGCTTCGATCTAAGCACCGCGAGAATTTCAATCAGAAAGCTAGGTAAGCTGAAGCCCTATAACGTGAGAGCTCCTGACTCATAGTATTTGATATAGCATCATCCGACAAAAAGCCGAGACTCAATGGGCGAACCTACCTCCTCGCTTCCGACTTTCGACTACCTTGAAAGAATGCTCTGGGGGTGCGTTCGAACGTGACCTTTTAGCTAGCATACGCCTGGACCAACTTCATGTCCTCTTTTTACTCGAATTATCGTTTCTCGATACCTTGACTGACCCCGATTCATCTATACTCGACATCTCGGACCAAATACTCGTTCTTGTAGTGGAAACAATTCTTTTGCGGGATCAACTAGTCAACTCTGGAACGGGACTCGTTTGGAAGGTATTTCTATCTGTTTGCAGAATTCGAACCTTTAATTACTGGGCTAAAACAACTGTCAGATCGCCCACTTCGGCCTCCCGGCTGCAGGGATTATTCTCCTTTCAATGTTGAAACAACATCGCACATTAGTCGAAGGTAGATCCTCATGGTCCAAAACAATACTCAATCTCGGTATTTTTGTTGCGCAGGTCCAGGTGGGAAGCATCGTTCGGCGTGGAGATCCGAATTACGCCTTGATATCCAAAGCGACACAGACGATTGAGCGGTTCCTTGATTCTATACACCGTGAAGGGATACAATCCCCAACGCAATTGCCATCGCATCTGGGAGAGAACGGTGATTGGGCTGCATTCTTCAGCCAGGATCTGTGTGATTTCGAGACTGACTTTTGGGAGAACCTCGCGTATCATCCTTCTTTGTTGGCCTCAGACCATACTTTGCCTCCAATATAGTAGATGAACACAGTATTGTACAGGAAGAAAATATGGCGAAACTATCGGTTGCTTATAGGATTGAAACTAAACGATATTTTCATGTATAACATGTGATATAATATAAAGCCTCGACTACCAAATATCTACTGCTATTCACTATCGGATGTAAAATTGTTTCAAGCATCCATAGAAATACCTACATAAAGAATGACGTCACCTGAATCTATAAACATTTAATATTACGTCGAAAATAAGTAAAAAATGGGCATTTTCGCTGGATCAAATAATCAATGCTTGGTATAAAACTGCAGTCTATCTAGGTAATATACTATAGATCAACCACTCATGCTCTCATCACTGTCCTCATTATCCTCACTGTCCTCCTCATTATCCTCACTGTCCTCCTCATCATCCTCATTTTCCTCCTCATTATCCTCACTGTCCTCCTCATTATCCTCACTGTCCTCCTCATCATCCTCATTTTCCTCCTCATTATCCTCATTTTCCTCCTCATTATCCTCATTGTCCTCCTCATCATCCTCATTATCATCACTGTCCTCCTCACTGTTCTCTTCACTGTCCTCATTATTCCCCTGCTCCTCCTCATCCTCCTCCGAACTCAAACTTAACACATCAGTCATTTCAGTATCCGATGACTCCCTTATTTCAGAATCTGGGATATCTTCTGGCTCTTCAGAAGGTGTTTTGCGGCCAAAGGATTTGAGATAACCTCGTACTGTACTACCCCAGGTAGTCTCTGGTTCAACGGACTTATTCTTAATCTTATAAGGCTTATAAGTGCCACCCATCCGGATATCACCATCGGCATCTGGGCTTGGTTCTCTGCTTGAAGATGAGTCACTTAGAGTAGTGAAAAGCTTCCATTCAGCCTTACCTTTTGGCGATTGAGAGGCGCGCGCTTTCTTCTTTTGTGGCGGGGGAGGCTGTCCATCCTCGGCATCTTGACTTGGTCCTTTGCTTGAAGATGAGTCACTTAGAGTAGTGAACAACTTCCATTCAGCCTTACCCTTTGGCGATTGAGAGGCGCGCGCTTTCTTCTTTTGTGGCGGGGGAGTCTGTCCATCCTCCGCTTCGGAATCCTTACGCCGCTTCAGATTGGTATGCTTAACATATTTTGCGAAAGCTGCTGGGTTAGTAGGAGATGGAGATGGAGCTGCCATTGCAGCGGCCAAATCGGAGCCCCCTGGCACAGGGCCAGCTGCAGGATCAGCTGCGTAGCCAGGTACATAGCCAGGTACAAAACCAGGTGCAGGGCCAGGTGCAGGGCCAGGTGCAGGTCCAGCTGTAGGAAGAGCCTCGAATTCAGCCTCAAAGCCGCCTTCAACACCACCTTCAGCACCGCCTTCAACATCATCTTCAGTGTCATCTTCGATTTCATCTTCAATGTCACCGTCAAACTCAAGTATACGGGTAGCGTAAGGAATAGGTATAGGAATAGGTGCAAGAATAGGTGCAGGAATAGGTGCGGGAATAGGTGCGGGAATAGGTGCAGGGAAAGGTGCAGGGAAAGGTGCGGGAAAAGCTGCAGGTCCAGCTATAGGAAGAGCCTCAAAGCCGCCTTCGAAACCGCCTTCGAAACCGCCTTCGAAACCGCCTTGGAAACCACCTTCGAAAACGCCTTCTAAACCGCCTTGGAAACCGCCTTCGAAAACGCCTTCGAAACCGCCTTCTAAACCGGCTTGAAAACCGCCTTCAAAACCTTTATCGAAACCGCCTTGGAAACCACCTTCGAAAACGCCTTCTAAACCGCCTTGGAAACCGCCTTCTAAGCCAGCTTGAAAACCGCCTTCGAAACCGCCTTCAGCACCACCTTCAACATCATCTTCGGTGTCATCTTCGATTTCATCTTCAATGTCACCGTCAAACTCAAGTATACGGGTAGCATAAGGAATAGGTATAGGAATAGGTGCAACAATAGGTGCAGGAAAAGGTGCGGGAATAGGTGCCGGAATAGGTGCCGGGAAAGGTGCAGGCATAGGTGCAGCAGGCATTACTGGTGGCCCTACAGCTATAAAGCTCTTTTTATGGACGGTCTGCCCTGAAGGTTGACGGATAGGAAGACGGCGAGATACGTGTGGAGAATCGGGAGGAGCAGGAGCAGGGGCTAGAGCAGGAACAGGGGCTAGAGCAGGAGCAGGGGCTAGAGCAGGAGCAGGGGCTAGAGCAGCAATAGGAGCAGGGATAGGAGCTGGAGCAAGGACAGGGGCGGGAGCGAGGACCGGTAGCTTAGCAGGAGCGGGAGCGAGAACAGGTAGCTTAGCAGGAGCGGGAGCGAGGACAGGTAACTTAGCTATAGCAGGAGCCTTAGCAGCACCAGCCCCAGGAATTGCAGCTAAAGCAGCCGCAGCCGCCGCCGTAAGAGGAGGTGCAAATATAGCACCAGGAGCAGCGGCAGGGACACGGGCAGGGAAAGTAGTAGGATAAGCAGGATTGACAACTGTCCACGATGCGTCAGTGAAGCGGTAAAACCGAAGAAGATCCCACATACGCTCGGCAAGCTCCGTTGAATCTGGGACATGAGCACGGACTATAGCTGGCAACTGATTTCGCGTAATGATAAACCTATCTCTGATCTCATATGTCCTGTTACCTAAAAATATCTGCTTCCAAGTACTTCCAGCTTGAAGACCATCATAAAGCAAAGGATTGTAGTTCCGTCGAATCACATGGAGGACAATCTGTTGGTCTCCGGGGTTCGTGGCGACGTCGATACCAAGTGCTGCCCAAAGACGAGGTCCATGAAATGTGCTCATCCTGTCTCTGAATTTAATATTGGTGACTCGAGACATATTGAAAGATATTGATGAAAAGTGAGTTTTGTGGAAATTGGTTTGTTGGATATGACCTTCAGGTTGAACTATTAGAATGTTAGATTGTTATACTGTTAATTTGTTGAATGGTTGGATTATTGGACTGGATTGAATTGTTTGGAATGGTTGGGAATAATGATGATTTATGTAGAATGCCTCGACTGCTAAATACTCGAGAGAGTCTTTGTAGTATCACTTGTGATATAATTGCAAGCATGGCCTTGATATTTTGGGAAACACAAAGGCACACATTTTACTCCAAGAACGCTCTTTTTAGAACAAAGCAATGCATTGAGGAGATACTCGACCGACGCAAACAAGGGCTTTATTAACTATGAGCTAATTAAGGATATTACTTTCCTATTGTTTCTCTTCATATAGAAACAAAGAAAGACAAAGGAAGAAAGTGTCTGAGAATAGCTAGAGCCCCCATTTAGAAGCGAAAAGAATAAGCCGCAATCTTGAAGCAAAATAGAAGCAAAGTTCACCCTTGTCTTTTATCGTAACTTGATATAGGTCCGAAAATGTGCACAACCAAATAGTGACAATTGTACATGGCAGGGTAATGGCCACAGCTTGCTCTACAACAGTATACAGAGTCGCCTGCACATTAACCCAAATGCTTAAAGGCAGGATAATCGCATCTGCGACGCGAAATTTCTGAACTCCATAGACACGGAGGACCGGATCAACTACCTTACCCATTTCGGCAGTGCCATGGATAAGACTGACTCAATCGACTTCTGTGTCGAAGTAGTCGGAGTCGATCAAATGAGTCTCGGTTGATGGTGCTAATTGAATACAGTCGGTTACTCAAGGAATGGATGCTAGTAACATGACCGAGGTCATGATAAAGCTAACATCCAGTGGAACATCTGGGACCGTGAACGCCACATAGGCAATTATTGTCTCGGTCAGAGATCTGATGGGTTTCAGAGTGGACTCCTCTGCTTAGGGACCGAAATTTGCCTTGTAATTCCGCATAGTCGGCTATAAGGCATGCGGGGAGAACAAAGCTGTCTAGTGCTAGACCGTGTTCAGGGCTGCGTGATTTATATAGATGGTAGAACACAAAATCATCGTTCAGGTTCATACCAGTCTCTACCGCGTCGATTACCGTAGAAATATTATATAGATATAATTCTACATTTAACCCATGTAATTCTAGAGAGCAAGAGGATGGAGACTAATGCGATGTCGGGAGGATGACCCCCGTGTATAGAAGCACAGACCATGGTACATAATCACCCCACAAACCCGCTTTTTTGGGTTGCGATGGCTTCTGTAAGGTAAGAACCTGACCTCGGGAAACTCCTTCTAGGTAACCTTTGCTGTGTTGTTTGACACTGTCAATCGTATCAGATGTGAAGCAGCTTCCATATAAATAACCTGAGCAGCTATCTGGGTTATATCGAATTCCCTATCTCACATGCCTTTTTGATTAGCTTAAGAGGATATCGTCGCTTGCGGTCACTTTTATAGACTAAGGTGAGCATGAAGCTGACCACCAAAAGTATTGCGGTGTGGAAGAATGACTCAGCTCTTCGTAAATAGGGCCAAGATGCCGAGGGGTTGCATTGCTTAAAGCGCAAGCCGGGCACGCACCCTGCCAGCACCCACCTCAAATGATGCAATCAGCCTCAACTGCTTGCTCGTGCTGACTAAAGTATTAGCAATGCCCTGGGCTTTCGGAAGCTTGAAAATTCAACCCCCTTTGTGTCAAAGTTGCTTGGAATATACATAGGTAGTTAGTTTATACCTTTCTACCAAAATATGTAAATATAATTGGTTTCATTTGAAGTCCCCGGGGGCCAAATCCTCGGGTATATCCGATGCTGAGTCCAGTATTACACGCTTGTTGTCAGAGAAGACGCAGTAACCTGAGGGTAAGATTCTCCGTTTCACCTTTTCAGCTTTAAAGAAGGGAATCAGCCACATGTGGGAACAGAGGATAAAACCTGCATATGTACAATCAAATTGGATGTCTCATGACCTGAACTGGGCCAATGCTTGCTTTCAACAAGGATCCCTAGCTAATGACCTCGGCGGATCATCCTTCCAAGGATATTCCCCCGCATACGCTTTGACGCAAGTTCCACATGGTAGATGATTTTGATTTCGGAGAATACCGTGGACTTTTTAACCTCACTTTATACATTCTTTCAATTTATATCCGTGACGCCTCCAAATCATAAATGTGGTATGGCGTTCCGCCTGTGACTCGTCTCGTGTGCTAAGATCCCTTTCAGGGTTTTAGTGCTGACGGATGGCCTAATGTTGCCGTCCTTGGAAAAAGCCACAAATTCACTTTGGGACTGATCTGCAGCTGTGCTCACCCCACGGGGAAGTGGTCTTTTTATATAGGCTAGCCAATCTCCCCCCAATTTTTTCAAACGCAAAAATCAGAGCCTATTCTCCTAAATCTGAGAAGCTAACCAAAAAGCTCTTCATCATGGATGAAAAGATCAAGGAAACTCCCCCTCAATATGAGCATGTGGTCGATGCTAAGAAATCAGAGTCGGATGAGGCGGCCGACCCTCCTGCGCTTGAGCGCCGCCAGGCTCTCGGTATCAACATCGTTCAGAATCCGTTGATGGTAAGATTAGAACTGAGATTCCCCTCCCCTATCTTTCAGGGTCGTATCGAGCATGAGCGCTGACTATGTATCCTTGTGTGTTTACAGCGCAGCTCTAAGGTTCAAGCCATTATCGATGCCCGGGCATACGCGGAATCGCATAACTTGAGCGAGTATACCGAGCTATTTGGTCGGGCTGCTGTTGTTGCGCGAAAACCCCAAGAATTCGCATCCATATCTGAGATTGATGACGCGGAGCGCGCCGCACTCCAATATGAGAGAGATCACAAATGGCACGGCCCGTTCATGCTCTGGTACTCGATTTCTCTGTGCGCTATCGGAGCCGCCACGCAAGGGTGGGATCAGACTGGATCCAACGGTGCTAACCTGTCCTTCCCCGAGGAATTCGGTATTGCCGGTAAAGGGAAAGATGAATGGATCGTGGGAATTGTCAACTCCATTATTTTCTTGACCGCTGGCCTTGTGTAAGTGTAGTGCCAGTGATTATTTTCCTTTGATTATTTACAACTAACCTTGCACGTAGTGGCGCTTGGATTGTCGATCCACTCAATCACTATTTGGGCCGACGAGGTGAGATTTTCGTCACTGCTCTCTGTCTCACTGCCACGCCAATTGGCTCTGCCTTTGCAAAGTCATGGCAAGGACTTTTTGCTGCGCGATTTGTAATGGGTATCGGAATTGGCGCAAAGAACGCTACGGTGCCCATCTACTCGGCTGAGATGGCTCCGGCCAGAATTCGTGGTGCTCTCGTCATGTTCTGGCAACTTTGGGTCGTAGCTGGTGACTATATCTCACTCCTTATCGAAGAACATGGCTAATCTGCAGTGCAGGTATTTTCTTGGGCTTTGCTGCCAACGTCATTGTGAAAGACGTCCCCAAGATCGCTTGGCGTCTCCAACTCGGTTCTGCATTCATCCCATCTTTCATCCTCGGCATTGGAATCTTTTTCTGTCCCGAGTCTCCCCGCTGGCTCATGAAACATGGCAGACACGCTGAGGCATTTCAGTCAATGTTGCGTTTACGAGCTCATCCAATTATCGCTGCGAGAGATTACTATTATTCATATATCATCTATGAAGAGGAACTCAAGGAGGCTCGCGGCGCAGGCTACTTCTCCCGTCTGTGGGACTGTTTCGCCGTTCCGAGGATCAGAAGGGCTAACTATGGTGCCTCGACTGTTATGATTGCACAGCAAATGTGCGGTATCAACAGTAAGCTGTGTCTTGTATCATGAAAGTAGCCAGCGCTAATTCCTTTTAGTCATTTCTTTCTATAGCTCAACCATCTTCCGTGACGTCGGCTACTCATCAGATCAGGCCTTGTATGCGTCTCTTGGCTACGGTGCCATCCAGGTCGTGGCCACGATTCCTACTTTGTTTATGATTGACACCAAAGGCCGAAGAACTCTGACTTTGATTGTGAGACTTTCCGAAATTTTGACTAGAATATTACTAACTATTGTTTTTTTGAAGACATTCCCCTTTATGTGCATATTCCTGCTAGCCGGTGGTCTCTCTCTTCTGAACAAGTCAGGCAGCGATGCCGCGCAGATTGCACCAGTTGTTTTGTAAGTTGGGTAATTATTTTTCACATTGCCTGAGCATACGCTGACTCGTCTCTTCAACTAGGTTTGTGTATCTGTTTACTATTGCCTACTCACTGGGTGAAGGACCAGTAGCTTTCCAATACTCTGCTGAGGTATTCCCCACTATTCAACGAGAGCAAGGAATGGCATGGGCTGTTTGCATCAACAACACCTTTGGTGAGTATTCTAAAGTTTAAACACACCAAAAACTCCGTTAACTAAGTCTGTTCCAGCTGGCGTGCTTAGTCTGACTTTCCCTCGAATGACGACTGTGATGACTAAAACTGGTGCTTGTAAGTTGACACTTTCTGAACGAAGCCGTCGAAATTGCTGACCCGCGCTTTAGTTGGCTTTTACGCCGGTCTTAACCTCGTCGCTTGGTTCATGATTTTCTGCTTTGTCAGGGAGACTAAGCAGCTGACTTTAGAAGAATTGGATCGTAAGTCGAGGCTCAAATATACATGACCATATACTGACATAGATCGCAGAGGTTTTCTCAGTGCCGACTAAAAAGTTTATTCACTACGAACTGACTGTGTGGCTTCCCTGGTGGATCAAGCGATACATCTTCAGACAGAATGTTGTCAAGCCACCAGCAATCATTGCATTGGGCGATGGAGTCATGTAAATGCTCATGAAGTTTTATATGCTGAATATCTTCAGACTGCGATCGTGTCAAGGTTGGTTGGGTAACTCCTTTTATCACTGATAACTCAGTATCTTCATTGTACTGTATCATAACCGCAATAATTCCGGTCATTACATAGCTATGGAGAATAAATTTCTACATAGTATACCTCTCTATTCGATAACTACTTACATACACATGTATGTATACGGGTATCTACATGAGGTATTGGGGTAGTGATATCATATCTATATCAGGTATAGGTAAACAAAGGGGATTCTTTGGCAGGAACGAGTCTGCTCATTTTCGGGTTTCCAGGCTCCTGGGATCAGAGGCACTTCTCACCTTCTTTTATTTATAAGAACATTCTTGGAATTGCATTTTCATATTCATTCACTACAGTCATGGACCAAACATATGAAGAATGGCGACATTTGATTGAAGGCCTGGGTCAAGGGACAGGAAAACGACAACCTCCGACCTTGCGCAACATACTTCCATCAACCCCGTCCAATACCTCACTAATTCCACACCTTGAGGGCGTCCACCATGTCTTCGCACAAGCACTAAACGTCGATATACGTTTAATGATTTGGCCACAAAGCTGGTTCCCAGGGGATGAGCGACTGAGCCCTATGCAGCTCCGGCCTTGGATTCAATTTCCTCAACTCCAAGAAGAGATGTGGGATAAGATCTTCAATGCATCCGAGTTTGTCAATGCAAGTATCTTCCCTCCGAACGTCTCTCTCCAATACACTGCTCAGCTTCTGAAATGGTACACGGTGGATTCGGAAGACAGTATGAAGCAATTTGCACACAGAACGCTGGACGATTTCCTCGGGTTCATTATTAATTTTCTGGACTTTACGCCGAGTCTGAAATACGCCTTTGGTGTTCGCGGAGAACTGAACTTTGACCGCCCGCGGCATTGCTGTATTTCTGTTGCGAAATTCGGATTCGAAGAGCCAGCATACGCAGTCCTGTATATTCCGCCATTTTGTCTGAGTTTGCCCGAGCTGGTTGCAGGATTGCGCGCAATATCACCGATAGATGTCTTTGATACCGAACCAAATACATTTGAGGAACATGCCACCGCCATAGTCGTCCGTGTGATTGTTCGACTTTATTCAAGAATGGTTGGCGCTGGAATTCGGTTTGGGTATATCTACACAGGAGAGGCCCTGGTGTTTGTTCACATTCCCCGACAAGACAGTACTATCGCCGAATACTATCTGTGTGTTCCTGGTCGAGATGTTCTTTCTCATGGTTATGATTTGAATTCAAACTGGGTTCGCCGCACGGCTTTAGGACAAGTCCTCGCGTTCACACTACAATCTTTAGCTGCCAGCCCACCACCGCACGAATGGAGTGACGCAATGTATCAAACCTATCGTCCACTCGAACGCGATTACTCAATGCTCATGCCCCAGGCCCCAGAGGATATTCGATGTCGTCCACCACCAAGGTGTATATATGAAAATTCATTCTGGCCTGGATTCTGGGTGAATTTTCTGCATGCAAACATACAAACAAACGACGCTGAAAGCCCTGGTCTACAAACCTCCGAGCTAGATATTTCCAGGCCTTTTTGTACCCAAGAATGCCTCCTCGGCACCTTTAACAAGGGTATTCTGGATGACAACTGCCCAAACGTTGCTGAGCACGGCATGGGAAGACATCAAATCACCTCAGAGGAGATCTGCAACATGTTGAATGAACAACTTCGAGGGGATAGGTATAGAGGCTTCCAGCAGCTGCACATTGTTGGCCGAACCGGTTATCTAATAAAAGCAACATTACGGTCTCATGGGTACACGATGTTGATCAAGGCCACTAGCACCAGACAATCGCGCAGGATCAAAACCGAATTGAGCAACTATCAGAGTCTGAGAAAGTTGCAGGGATCTCAAATTCCTGTATGTCTTGGGATGTTTCAACCTAAGATCCCGTATTGGTATCATGGGATTCGAATGAGCTACATGCTGCTCCTCAGCTGGTCTGGAATACGAACGGATGAACATGCTACCCTCGAAACAACTCAGTACATGGAACAGGAGATGCGGAAGCTTGAGGATATACTCAAAGAACATGGAGCTATTCAGAAAGATGCAGCCTTCCGCAACTTGCTGTGGAATCCCATTTCAGAATGCTTTGTGATGATTGACTTGGAAGATTTGAAGTGGGTGAAGGGGACTGCACAGGGGTCCGAGAGGCACCAAGGTGACGAGCAAGAATTCAACACGGACTCAATCCGGGAATGTAGCAGCTAGTTTGGAGAAAAAGACAAGGAACCCTAGGTCTTGGAGCTCACAAAAGATATGTGAGTAAAATTTGGTCTGGTTGGAAGAAAAGACGAGTTGGGAGAAAAGGCACCGCAAAAGATTCTATATTTATTCTCTACACTATCTTTATTATGGGTTTCATTACCCTTGTTGACTGTCAAGTCCCTTGAATCCTGTATAATATCTCTGCAGTGGGAGAAATCAAAACCAAAGTGGAACTACTTCAGACCAAAACTAGTAGATATAGCGAAGAGTCTGTATATACAAGTCTGTTTATTCTTATATTTTGGACTTGGAGACTTACAAAATTTTGATTGTACACTATACATTTATCGGAACTTCATCTTTCTGTGAGATCGGGTGTCGTCCTAAATACCCAGATATTCATTGTGGTATGCTAAAGTATTGGAGGTCCACCATTTTGTCAAGAACATCAAGCAAAGTTTTGAGGTCCAAGAACGGATTTTGAATATCCTAGGGCACACCTTAGAATAACATGATACATCCGCTCAAACCCATGCGACCTGACTTGCTAATTTGAACTTTACTGCACCTATATTGGTATCTCGGAGGAACCTCGCATATTGCTCTGCTGAGAAGCTAGCGATGATTATTTACAGACTTACATTGACCAGCATAGTAGTGATGTCGATCTAGGTCATCGATTCAAGCGGTGTTTCCAGGCTGCAGAAGCTATTCAATAATTTCACCACAAGGGCATCATTCATTCCGACCTGCGACCATAGAATCTCTCAGTACACTGACTCTAAAGCTAAGCTCGATCTTTTGCTGTTTTGCTTTGGGGAATCAATAAGTGGCATGAATAGTGGACATCGTCCTGGCTCGGGATTTTTGAATCCATGCAGGCCATTCTTTGCGCTCCGTGGCTGGAAAAGACAAATGTTCTCCCACAGCTTTGAGTTGTTCTCAAGAGATTTCATTGAGGAGACACTCTCGAAGAAGGCATGATTAGAAAGCTACGCTAACAGATATTGGATTTTACTCGGGCTTTGTGCGAATAGAATTGACAGTCTATTCATCTTGGTCATTCACTTCGAGTCTCAGCACCCGTAGCGATCCATTATGGCCCTGAATGAAGGATCTCGCAAAAGTTCTATTGCGGTAGGTCGTTTTTCTGGGTGGTAGGTAAAGACTTTTAACATGACAGATTGCACATGTTGACGCTCGACTAGATCAGCATCGGGCCGAAAATATGCAATTTTCGCAGCAAGGTCATGTTTTGGATCAGGAGGTTGAGACTGATCATACCATGAATCAAGTCCGCCGGGGTGCATGTAGAGACCTTTCCACTCCTCGGGTAGTGGGCCTAAGCATTCAGCCATACCACTCACAACTCCACCGTCGAGAAACGTGGGAAATGGAGGAAATGAAGGTAGAGCATAGAGAAAATAGCCATATAGCTCCACATATCGCAAGCAAAACTTGGCTCTTGTTTATGAAGTCGATCTGGAGAGCAATACTGCATAGGTGGGTAGCCGCGTTGAGTAGTGAGATCGCCAATTTTCTTTGCTAAACCAAAATCACAGAGATAGAACTCTGCTGTGCAAAGGTCTTGAGAAACTTTGACAGGGCTCACCAGCTCGCCCTTTTTCCAGAGATCGACAAATGGTATTGTCTGCTTCAAAGGTCGACCGAATAACTCATACTTAGCGCTTCTGCTAAGACCATCGATAGACTGAGCCATTCCCCACATACAGTTCCTTGCGTTCAAATCTATCGTATTGTTAGTATATAAGAAAATGAAATAAGAAATTCCGACTCACCGCGATGTATAATTCCAGCTTCATGTAAACTTGCCACAGTCTCCAGTAATTGTCGAGCAGTAGACATACGAGAAGCTATAGCAGTCTTTTTTAAGGTAAGAGTGCAGATAGATGGCCCTTTTACAGGGAATACCAAGACTCTATGGTAGCTTTTATCGTCTCGGGGTAGAAAGAAAGTTGTAGTATATATAACCAGACGAGAAGTGTCCGGTACCGTTTTGATAATCTCATCCTGGATTCGAATTTCGTTGTCGCCCCATTTCCCTAGGGTCATGACTTTGAGGGCCACGTCTCTTTTATCTTGCATATCAAATGCGATCCAGACAGTTGAGCCACCACCAAAGCCAAGTTTATGTTCATCAGGTACCTCTCGTTGAGCACTTCCCCAAGGCAAATGGGGTAGAGAACATATTGGTTATCCTTTGTTTCGTACCTATGCCATGGCTCAACAAGTTCTTCGAGGTCGAGTTCCTCTTCTTCATCCTTCACAAAGTCACCAAAATCTGTGTCTCGAGGGGATGCTTCAGTGTTCGCCATTTCAGATGAATATATGTTGGTAGCAGAGCGGATAGACAATGGGAAGATTTGGTGAGTTCCCTAGGAGGAGATCGAGCAATAGTGCTTGCTATTCGTCACACCGCCCAGTGGTGGCTCCTGGATGAATACAATGACCAACTCCATGCGCTCTCTCTTTCTAGATCCCACTCGATTCATCAGGCCCACTAAGACCAATTTTCTTGCTGCCTATTTGAATTAATGGCCAAGAGGTGCCTTTCCTAAACTAGTTTAAGCGGGTGTACAAATAATATCTCTCTATGTACATATATATATCAGCACTCGAATGAATAAGTCATATCAAACCAAACACCACCTGCAAAATTAGACTGGCTTCTCCCTTGGTTCTTAAACCCAACACTCTCATAAAAGTTCACTAAATAGTCATGCGCAATAAGCACAACCCTGCCCGCCCCAAAACGACCCCTCCCAAGATGCTCAATGTACGCCCGAACCAGAGCTCTCCCAACTTTTTTGCCCTGATACTCCGGTGAAATAGCAACAGAGTGAATTGCAATAGTGTCGCCGTACTTGTGATTTCCGATTAATTCATCATTGACAAAAACAGGCTCATCATCCGGCAGTGTTCGCCAATTCTCCGGCATGGACATCGATCCGTCCGTGATACGCGTATAGGGAGAGCGCACTGCAATGACATGTCCAATGAGTGTGGATGAAGCTGGGTCTTGCTCATTCTCAACAAAGAGTCCTAGACATAGCTCCGGGCATGCTCCCAGGCGATAGTAGAACTGGTCGGCGTTAGAAGAAACAAGAAACAATATTGGGAACTGCTCATTCGGCTCCGATTTTAGCTGTGGCTCTGCCTTACCTTTTCTTCAGAGCATCTCTCTGGCTCTGTAAATGCTTCTTCGACGGCTACACAGATCTTCACGTCTTCCTTGCTCAGAGTCCGGGTGAAGGCATTGGATCCGCCAAGGCTTGGGATGTGAATATTGGTCCTGGACATGGTGTGATTGCTTAGCTTTGCTGAATATAGGCCATGAATTGGAAATAGAATTAAGAATTGAGCCCCAATTGAATGCCCTTTTAATGAGTCAAGGCTATTTCTATATCGGCGGGTCGAGTATGACAAACCGGAGTATTCGGACCGGAGTGTTCGGCGTGGACTTCAATTGGAAGTCGATCACTACTGAAAATACGGAATCCGGAGAAAAAGTGGACATTGAAATTCATTGATTTGATGCTTTAATCAAAAGGTTGCAGATGATCCAGAAGCAGACGCCATACTAGCTACACCGCTACTGTGTACCTTGGTGGATAGCATACAACATATTGTGGTCAATTCTTGCTTCGGCAACTCATCTATCCCCTAGAACTCATTATCGACTATAAGAACTCAGCTATAATTGAGCCAAGAAAAATTTAGTTCAAGTTTTCTGCGTTGTTGGCGCGTCATTGTTGAGAACATCAGGAATCAGTGTTGGGAATCATAAAAAGCCCTTGCATTTACAGCTAGATCGGAGATGAAATAATGTACAAATTAACTTCCTAATATTACATACTGTCGCTTCCAGCCACTCATAGTTTTGTCAACAAGGACTCGACAAAAGTGCGCAGTCCATCCAACGACACATCCTCCTTCACGCCTAGCTGACGGCACTGCACCTCCAAAGTTTCCTTCTTCTTCCACCCGTTGCCAACAACAACAATGATAGGGTATCCAATCAAATCTGCGTCGCCAAGTTTCCAGCCCATACCTTTGTCCCGGTCATCGAGGATAACATCGACAGGCGCGGCGGCATTGCCGGTAAGATTATCATACACCTGATCCGCAACGGTCTCCAGTCCCTTTCCTGAGACCACCACAACCTCGTAGGGAGCCATAGCACGCGGCCAATTGAGTCCTTTGGAATCAGCAAGTCGGTTCGCCACCGCGGAGATCATACGCGAGACGCCGATGCCATGACATCCCATCTGCATGGGCACGATTTGTTCCTTGGCAGAGGATTTCGCATCTAGGTCCGAGGATCCCTCAAGAAGAGCGGAGTTGACAGAAACAGAGGCATTCAGGACTTTGCTGTACCGCGTTCCCAAGTGGAATGTATGTCCTAGTTCCACGGCAGAGTGGCTAGTTAATGATCCATGCGCACACTGCGCGCATTGGTCTCCGTCACGCACGCGGACAAGGCTGAGTTTGTTTGAAGTCCCAGGGAATCGGTCTAGCTTGGAGTAATCTATGTCCAACGCTGTGCAGCCAACTTCCTGTAGAAGATCACTCAGCGGCGGGCGCTGGTATACCCGAACCTGCGAATCATATAGATCCAACACACGCGGCTTATCCGTGGAAGACTTGTTTGCCTTTACGTGGGCGGCCCATCGCTCTAATGGGTTCTCCACGCTCAGATCGAGGTCAATACCAGCGGCTGTCGCCACCGCCTTGACTGCGTGTGAGTTGACATGGCGCTCAACAGGCTCTGTCGCTCCATCCTGCATCGAGAATTTGGGGTGCCAGCTCCGTACGATGGTCTTGCTATCTTGAGAGATTGCCATCCACATACCAGTTGAGATTGTTGGTCCACTTTCGACAAGTGCATCGTCAGTCTGGAAGCCAGGTGCAGTGTTCTGTTCAGACTCCTCAGAGCTGTGGGCCTTGCCGTCTGCGAGCTCTTCGTTATAGACATGGTCACAGTTTGAGCAGCTGATCACCTCATCCTCGCCCTTCGGGCTGATAAAGTGGTACTCATGGCTCAATGAGCCTCCCATATTCCCCGAATCAGCTGCCGCGACTAGGTAGGGAATCTTAAGTTCGTTGAATAATTCCGTGTAGGCATTTTTGACTGCATCGTATGTTTTCAGTGCTTCGCTGACACTGTAGTCGAATGTATAGAGGTCTTTCATGATAAACTCTCGCCCACGGAGCAGGCCCTGTCTCGGCCGGGCCTCATCTCTGTACTTTCGCGCTTCATTTATGATTCCATTAGCAAATTTTATACGCGATGGAAAAACAGGAAGCCTTACTAATTTGATACACCCGCAGAGGCAAACTCTTGTATGATGTTGTCAGATTACCCACAAGTGTTGTAATCTCTTCCTCGTGTGTTGGGGCTAAGAGAAATGGAGTGTCTTTCCGATCATTGAATCGAAACAACTAGGATGCATGTTAGTGACATTATTCAAGACATTGAGTATCGTCAACCTACTTCTGAGCCGTCGGTAAGTCTGCCAGACTGTCCCCAGAGCTCTTGCGAGGATATTGAGGACAAAGAGACCTTGGATGCGCCTAAATTGGCGTTAGTTGGGAATCCAATCCCATAATAAAAATAGGGTATATTCCATACCAAGTGAGCGCATATGCTTGTCAATCAGACGCTCTAGCTTATCTTGAACACGTAGGCCAAGTGGGAGCAAATGAAATACTCCAGAATATGCCTGGAGGCCGTCAGAGATATTTACTTGGATATAAAAATGCGATTGCTCACCTGTCGAAGGAAGCCACCTCGGACTAGCAGGTCATTGGCATCCTCTGGATCTTCGTTAACATCTGGTGATAGTTGATTCCTATTGGGTTTCTGAATGGCATACCCTTTTCACCGTCAACGGGCTTCTTGGAAATTCCACCAGTAGGAATCCAGATATTTGAAACACGGCTTCTTCCATCGACCTATATCAGGTCAGTACTCTCTATCAAGCACATTCAATCATCTTTTAGAAGCGCGTACGTGAAGATTGCAGTGCTGGATGCGCAGGCTCAACGCTAGCCGCCGCCCGGCTATGCGCCCTGACAGAGGTCGCAGCCCAGAAATCATCGATCAAGATCGTTCACAGCGTCAAAATCTATTATTTTTGCAATTGAACGGCTGGCTAAACATAAAATAAGTTGTAGAGCAAGTCGAGTGTCCCTTCTCCGATGTTTCTTATCGCGTTGGTCCGAGCGCCCCGATAACCCGCCGCAAAAGATTTCTCCGTTCAATTTTCTTTCCTCCATAATTCAACCCCAAACACAACACACCATGGCTACAGGGAAAGGAAAGCGCTCTTCAGGCGCCGAGCAGAGTGCTCCTGCGACGAGCAACTCAGCTCCCGCTGCGGAAACTATGCCATCCATGCCGGACGAGAGCGCCTTCGCAGGCCTACGACAGAAAATCGAACAACGTTTGAAGAACCAGAATCAGACCACTGCGAAAGGCAAGAAGGATAATACCAAACCACCGGCCCCTAATACCAATGCTTTCGCAAATAAAGGAAAGCAATACCCCGCCAAGGCCAGCCGGCCTCAGGATTCTGCGCAAGGCAAGAAGCGGGATCGCAGCGGTGAGGTGATTGCTCGTGAGCAGAACAAGGGTGGAATGAACAAGCAAGAAAAGCCTAAAGTTGGCAAGAAGAGCAACGACGACGAGACACTGCGCCAAGAAATTCTAGCTATGGGTGGTACCGAGGAGGATCTTGATCTTCTTGCTGGTGTCGACTCCGAATCTGAGGTTGAGGGCGAGTCCGGCAACGTTGACGATGATCTTCGGAAACAGCTTTCTAGTATGCTGGAGGCTTCAGGTCACGTTGTGCCTGAGGACCTGGCAGATGACGAAGTCGAAGAACTCGAAGAAGAAGCGGAGAGCGAGGAAGACATCGAGGACAGCGAGGACAATGCAGAGAGCAGTGGGCCGGAATCTGACATCGAGGAAGCCCCTGCCCCCAAGTCTGAAGCTACAGTGCCTAAGGAGTATCTGAAATTGGTACGTTGTGGACGGCCCAGCACCTCAATGCCTTTGCTAACATGATCATTTTAGAATGTTCTTCCTCGGTCCGACTGGTATAATATCCCCATGCCCTCCGCTGGCGGAAACACGAAACAGATGAACGCCTTGCCTCGCCATATGATGGAGCGCGTTCACGAGCTCGCCAACAAATTGCTACAAGAAGAAAACGAAGAGTATGCGGCAGCCCAGAGGGCATCTGCATCTTCTTCCCATAAGTTCTACTCGACCATTATGACATCTGGTACCCTGAGCGATAAAATTTCCGCCTTGACTCTTAACGTTCAAGAGTCGCCCTTGCACAACACCAAGGCACTGGAAACCTTGATTGGTCTCGGAAAGAAGCGTAGCCGTGCGCAGGCAGTCGAAGTTCTGCGATCATTGAAGGATATGTTCGCGCAGGGTACCTTGCTACCCAGCGACCGACGATTGAAGTCTTTCACCAATCAGCCTGCCCTCATTGCTGCATTCCAAGGTGCCGGTGGACGTTGGAATGAGAAAGACCCCCTTCCGGGTGGTTTGACAAAGAAAGAGCTCATTGTGTGGGCCTTTGAGAATATCGTAAAAGATCAATTTTTCGAAGTCATCAAGATTCTCGAGATTTGGTGCAATGACGAGATCGAATTCTCGCGGACCCGCGCTGTTAGTTATGTCTACGAACTTCTCAAGGAGAAGCCCGAGCAGGAGACCAATCTTCTGCGACTTTTGGTTAATAAGCTTGGAGACCCGGGCAAGAAAATTGCCTCTCGGGCATCATACCTTTTGCTCCAACTCATGCAGTCGCACCCTATGATGAAGCCGATCATCATCAAGTCAGTCGAGGAAGTGCTGTTCCGGCCTGGCCAGAGCTCCCACGCCAAGTACTATGCTGTGATCACTCTTAATCAGACTATCTTGAGACAGAAAGAAGAAAAGGTGGCTGCTCAGCTGCTCGACATCTACTTTGGACTGTTCCTTGTGCTTTTGAAGCCCTCCCATCAGGGCAAGGCTGATTCCAACGGGAAGCCTGCGGCCAAGGGGAAGCCTGCTCCTAAGGGGAAGTACAACAAGCATGGAAAGGGACCAAAGAGCAAAGGTGACGACGAAGCTGGCAAAGGACAGGCCCAGGACGACGAGATGCGAGAGAAGCTGATCTCTGGTGTCTTGACCGGTGTCAACCGTGCTTATCCTTTCACTGACTCTGATTCCGAACGGTATGTTTCTTTTTTTTGAAACACTCTATTCCTACACAACGTACTAACTGTTACTAGCATGT